GGATAAGGCAGTCAAATTTTAGTGCTAGCATGCAGCTTTCTGCCTTGATTTAAAAATAAAGCTAATCTAATAGTTTGTGGATGAAAAAAAAAAATTAAATTAGAAATAAATTCTTGTCACTGCAGTTCATAATATTGATGAAAATCATTACAGGATTTACTGTGTGAATTCTAGAAGCTGAAAATATTATTTGGATATTAAAAATATATTCTAGGAAGCTACACATGTTTTCTGTGAAATGCTTATGGCAATTTCATTTCCTATGGTTCCACAGTTATTAAATATAACTTTTTGTTCTCAAGGTATGTGATCTCTGCTCTCTGAACTGAAAGCATGTCTGGAAGGGACTCATACAGTATTCTTGCTTTGTTTTGTATCTTTACATAAAATAGCTTTGATTTCATTGCTTTTTGCATCATTCAGTGCTTTTGATTATCTGCACTTTTAAAGTGAGTTACTCTTGCATCACACTGCAGGTTCACTATTGTTAGTCTGTTGGGGGTCCTTGATTAGCTGCTAGCAAGTTCTTCTTTTCTTCTGCTTCCACTTCCATGCTGTGGTTGGAGAGTCAGTGATCCTGATAAGAAATCTTGGGAATTCTGTGTCTCTCATACATCCACAATGTCATAAGAATAGCAAGATACTATCCTATATGGGGACCTCTGCATTTAATGTTTTCTTGCCATTCTCTAATAAAGCATACAGAGTTGGAACCATAAGAGTTGATGGTCAGTATCAAGAAGCAATCTCAACATTTTTCCCAGATTGTTGTAAACCATGTTGATCTATCTGTGGTCTGACAAGCTGCTGATTATTTTTCCCAAGTCCAAATGTGATGTTCAGCTTCTGTTTGTAATGTACGCCAAGACACTGACAAACAGCTCAGATAAAATGTATTCAGCCAAATAATTGTCACTCAATCAATGGCTTTGTAACGATATGTGCTTTCTGTCAGTATTAGCTTTTGTTTTATAGGGTAACATTTTCTGTAATTCTCTCAGGGGAGTAGGAATTATCCTTAAGCTTGCTAGCAGTACTGGGTGCTCCTTTTATGGCTCAATTTGTCTTACTATAGGTAGTGCAGAGATTTAACAAGAAGGTGCAGAGATTCCCAAATAGTGTAGCCTATGGTGGGGATGTTCCCGCAGGTCAGCAAAGATGAGGTTTTTGACATTCCCAGGCTCCCCAGGGAGGTGGTTGAGTCACCATCCCTGGATGTGTTTAAAGACTGTTTGGATGTGGTGCTCAGAGACATGATTTACCGGAGGGTTGTTAGTGTTGGGTAGTATGGTTAGGTCATGGTTGGACTAGATGATCTTTAAAGTCTTTTCCAACCTGAGAGATTCTATGATTCCCACTCACAGAGACTGAAGGTGTCCCTGCAGCTTCTTTTCCTGAGACTATTGGGTAAAGTGAAGTGATAGCTATCTGGCAGTGATTTGCAAGAAGAGAATGAACTTTGCTCAGGTCTTGAAAAAAGTAGAAACCAAGTCCTGTCAGCCCTCCTCAGTGGAGGTGGCTCTCTGCAATGTTCAGATCTTCAAGCATGTGAAGATGCAATGTAATTTAATTATTTGGTTAAAGATCTTGGAGGTATATTTAACCTAAAGCAACAGCAGTTTAGAAATAATTGTCGTATAGGATTCACAGATTTGGGAAACTGTCTGCAGAAGTGAATCTGATTTGCCCAATGACTTGGCCATTTCAGTGGTTGTTTCTGCAAAGGTGCTGAATGGGAACTGTTTGATATATATTGATTTGATATATATTTTCCCCTTAGCTTTCAAGCTTTAATCAAAATTTCAGTAACAATAAAAGGGAGAGTTTTTATGCACTTCCACAGTTTCTGGACAATCACTGATAATATAACTGTCTGGAGCCAGACAGTGCTAGCACTTGTAAGTTAAGGTATTTAACCTGGAGAGTAGATCTTAGTTTTAACTTCTTCATTACTACTTTAAAATTAACAATTTTATTTTGGGTCCAACCAGCAGTTATGCTGTATACTTGGATGCTGAACTATTTATTTTCAATCAGATACAGACCAGGATACGATGACCTTCATCAGCCTGAAGTGTTCATTGATGTACACTCAGAATTAACTGAAAATAAAATAAATAAAAAGAATCCCCAACCCACTGAAAAATCTGCATCACAAGCATAAGCTGTTTTTCTAGGTAGTTGTTAAAAAGCTTAAGTATTTTTTCCTACTTATATGCAATGGTGGTGGGAGGATTGCATTTTGTGCATCTGTTCTATAACATTAATATGTCTGGAGAGCTGAAATCAAAGTACTATGAATGCTTTTAATGCCAAAATGAAAGTATTATCTTAATGCAAAATCATAGGATTGGCTTATAGGTGTGAGTAAATTCTACATGGGCCTGAAGAAATGGTTTATTACAACACACCTTACAAGTTAAATGATCCATCTCGTCTTGTTTTCTGCATCTAGTAGTTTGTATTTCAAAGGAGCAAGCAATACCTAAAAATAAAGCAAGAATGGAGGAAGAAGAGTTCCTCTCTTGACTTCTGCAGGCTGCAAATTTATGCATTGTATTTAGCATTTGAAATATAGCTAGCATTTGACAGTTAACTTGCCTTAATCATTCTGTTAATAAAAATAATTATACAACCTTGAGCTCTGCTGCTGATCACTGCAATCTGTTTCCAGCATGATCTGTGAGGGTCACTGTTTTCCTGTGTTTTGCTTAACATTGTATTTTTTTACTAGTGCTGATATATAATGTGATCGTGCTGACAAACATGTTTTGTTATTGATCCAAGAGATCTTTAAGATGATCTAGTTCCAACCTCCCTGCTAAAGGCAGGGACATCTCCCTCTAGACCAAGTTGTTCCAAGTCCCATCCAGCCTGGCTTTGAATGTTTTTTTCTTTCTCCTTACAAAACTTATCAGTTTTCTCACCGGGTTAAAGGCACTGAACCACCACAGTCTCTCTTGAGACTTTGTCCAACAACAGGCAGGTCTGAGCTCTTTGCCTTTTCCCATTTGAGGTAATGAGGAAAGCTCCTGCTGACTTCCAGGCTAGGTGAAATACAGCCTTGGGTAACTCTATGGATGGTTGTCAGTAGACTCAAACTCATCTGTGCGTGCTTCTAAGCTTTCACATCAGCACCTGCTTGTGACTGTGGACAGTCCTGAGTGTTTAATAATTAATGAGATGTAGTGCAGGTATGTGTTTTTTCTGGTCTGTGTGGGCTTTATTGTATGAAATTCTGTTTAGAATGCATATTTGTATAAAGGCATTGCTTCTGAGTCTAAGAGAAATTGTGAGCAACAGATGGACTGTCTATGTATGAATGTATGTTCAGCTCAAGCCTGCCAAAATGCAGTAACAGAGGTAAGATCATTAAGTATGGGATGACACAGTATTTGTACAATTCAGATTGAAAATGGCTACCCAAATCAGGACAGAAGTGAAATCTGGAGCCAAAGTACCTACTGAGCTGACCATACATACATAGTAACAGTGCCTGACAGCTAAAAAGTCTCCAGGGCTCACATGAGCATTTGGACCCCCTACCCATAGATAGAGAAGCATAGGTGGATCTCTGGGACAGTTTGCCATACATAGTGTTGTATACATGTGTACACACACACACATGCATAACATACAGAGAAGGAATAAAGCACCTGAAAAGATTCAGTGAGTATCATGAGCCTTCTGGAACTATTTTGAATTCATAGAAAAAGAAGTTGCAGGTTTCTAAATTGCTGTTGTTCTAGAAGGACTTCTTCACAAATATAGTTTGATTGGAATCTTAATTTTTAAACTCTGAAGTCTTTCAAGGACAGCATTATCAATAATCTAGAGATGCTTTAACTTGTATTCTGAAATTTCCACAGCTCACAGTGCCTCTGAATGTATGAACAGCTGTTGATGATTACTGCAGATGTTGCCCTGCGTGTTACAGTATTCTATCTACTCATCATTGTGTGAAATATGTGTATATGAAATGTTCATGTGATATGAAGTAAAGACTGAAAGAGCACTGCAATGGTTACCTCCAAACTGATAATATAACACTTTGACATCCTAGGCCTACATCCCTCAACCAGAGGTGCTCATTCAGGGAGCAGGCAGCCCTGCAGGCAGACAGGCATAGCAATCCCAATGATAACTGGATAAACGGCTCCCTTGTTCAAGGGATACTTTTATCTGTTGTAGCTCACATCCTTAACAACTCCAAGAACAGGATTGTTTCTTAAATCAGGTCCCCTGTTATTAGGAGAATGTAGCAAAGTTCATCTATATGCTTTAATAGGAAAGATAGTGAACCTAGATACAAGTCATAGGTTAGAGCTATGCTGCTTGAGTCTTTCTCTCCAAAAGTATGGACACTTGCATAATACACATATGAGCTTTGTAGGTGATGAGTTAAGTATGGTTAAGTATTTAGAGCTTATACTAGAATTAAAAAAAGACTTTATGCTTTTTCAAACATGTAATTGATAAAAATCAAGAATGTAAATAATCTGTTTTCTAATGCTAGTAATGTGAAAGGTAATATATTAAAAAAAAAGAGAAAACAGAAAAAAATGAAACAAAGAACAACAAAAAGCCAAACTAACATAGTTTCGAGAACAAAAATGAGGTAGACAATTTGACACTTATTCAAAAAGAAGTGACAATTTAGTAGAAAATGGTTACAGCACCTTTTTCTTCTTCCTTACCCCACCACACTTTGGTTATTTTGAATAGACATTTCCACAGCTGAAAAAACTGCGAAGATGCCACAATGATAGTGTAGCTCACAGACGGATCCCATGTGGTATGTCTGGTGTGTTACTGATGGCTGTGATTGATTCTGCATGGCCAGATCTGGTAAATGCATAACAAGTTACCTGAAGCAAGTACAGTGATGATCTATGTAATGTTTGATATCAAAGCTACTGTTGCTTCCCCGTTTCATAACACTCCCTCCTCTTTTTCCCAAGGTATTGAGATCCTCAAGCAGTAGAGCAGATAAAGTTTATTTATTTTTTTTTTTAAAGGTATTTTTATCCAAAGCTCTCAGAAGATCTATAACTTATCACAAACAAAAGCTTTGTGCTCTGAGGGCTAACATACCCAGTTTGTCACAAATGGCAAAACTGAGGCAAGGAGATAAAAAGAGTGTTATCTTTTTAAGGAAGAGTAGTAAGCAGGCACAGCGAGACTTGCACTTGAAAAACTTTTAATTTATTCTAGATAGTATCATTTATATTACTGTATATCTAATCCCGTTACTTGGATCTGTTTTCAGTTGCTTTCATGTAAGAAGTATGGCTTTGTTTGTTTTTAACATAATTACTGGTTGAAGATTTTGCTAAATTTTTACCTACTTGGGGAAAAAGAAGTTATTATAAGGCACAGCACTTGATTACACTTAATTCCAGTGCAACCATTGTGTTAGGTTGTTCATATTTCCATGCATTCTGACTAAAAGATGATTAAGATGAGACAAGTGGGTTAAAACTTCTTTATCTTCAACGTCAAGTGTTATAGAAACTAGTTATAAGGCTGCTTGCGTTTTGGATCCTGAGCAATATAAAGAGCAACGCATTCCTCAGACCTCTTCCAGCAGTACCTGGAAAACAGAGATAACGCAATGTATATGGGGGAATATTGGAGGACAAACCATCCATACAAACAACGAATGTGCTGATGCTGCTGAGAAGCAGAGAAATTACAAACAGGTTCCCTTCTGCTTAAACTTGTTCCGTATTGGTATGTCTTGTTATATTTTTGGGAACTACTCTACATCATCACCCATATAAGCCAAACATCATGACACAGGGAAGAATTTCTCTCCTTACAGATGAACCAAGGGGAAAGGCATATGTTGTGATCTCAGTGACATGAGGGTTGAAACAGAATCACATAAGCACTGATATTTTTTAACAATATAAGTAACCAAGAGTTCAAGAGTATTTGTTTCTTGTGGTAAAGCACTGTTGCATTAAGTGTTTATGTTTCAGAGATGGCCAGAGATCAGTATCAGTGTACAGTAGCGACACATACAATAACATGTACCTGCTGTAGAAAACTGGTAAATGTCTTAACCCAGTATGATCTGTGCTGGCGGATCTCTGCACATGCATCATACCAGGACTTTGAAAACAGCCTCATTCATTGGACTGCAGGATTGGGAATTAAATAAAGTGATTTCATAGAGGTGGAGGAGGTGAGTACATATTGGAATCACAGGTGTAGAGAGGCTCTATGCAGCTGGGCAGGTTCAGGTCTTTCAACAACTCTTTCTGGTATTAGTGATTAGCAAAAGTTATCACTACCACTCAATAGTTGGTCTTCATTGTTTTTTTGGTTTTGTTTTTCTTTTTGCTTTCTTTCCTGTAAGAAACTAGGCTGCTTATAATCACATACCTTTAATCTACTGCACTGCATTACCAGTGAGCATACATCCTTCTTCAGAGCGGGCACTTTATTGGTCTATGCCACTTTTCACAAGATTGGCAAATACCTTCCTTCTCTGTTCTCTCTGGAAACTGTTTTCACAAGTTTTACTTATATTATGTGTGTCATTACTATGAGATAGCCCTATGAATCTTACTCCAGTAGGAGAGCTGTGTTCTTGGCCTGGCACCCAAACTTTGCCATGTTTTTGTTGATCAGGGCTGGTTGGAAGCTTAGAGTATCTGCTGTGATTGCTTATGAGTGTATTCTCACTTCACGATATTTTGCACATTGTTTTTTCTTGACAATGTTTTTATTGTATTTTCCCCAGCTTAATCATAAGGAGAAAGCTAGATGAATGCCTGGCTTTGTTTGCTCCAGTATAGACTTCTGCCCTAAGGAGTAATACAGACTATTGCAAATCCTGCAGAGGCTGCGTTTCTGCATCAGGTGATGCACAGCTTGGTATGGACTAAATACACAGAATTTATATTGTTGGAGTCTGGGAAATCATTCATCTCTACTCACAAACACTGGGCACGGACAAGTAGGCTATCACCAGCAGCTAGAGTCAGAGTTTTGCCATCCACGGTAACAGTAGATGCACCCTCCTGAAGGGAAGGAACAGATAGTCAGCTTTTTTAGTTATATGTTCTCTCGTGAGTAGGAAGAAAATTCTGCAGGTAAGTATGGAAATATTTTCCACTGAAAGAGCACTTCTAACTTGCTCAGTTTTATGAGGACTAGCTAAATATTCAGCTGATGTTCCCTGTCTGACACTATTAGCATCAATAAAAGCATGCTTCATGGTTCATTGTTCCCCATCACAAAGCAGCAACTTCTTGCTTGATATCTTGTAGATATGCTGCAACCAATCTAACCCAGAGGTGCAACTGTCTGGAAATTTACAGAGAGAACATTCAGGAGTATTTCAAACTCCTTTTCAACTTTTCTGATTCCTAATACCTTTTTACATCTTGAAAAGTAGTCCACAAGTCAGCAGGGAGATGACAGAAATCACTAATGGGAGTCCATCTACACTGGAACACGCTTGTCATTATCTTGTCAAGCAAAGGAACCAGATTCCTGCCAGCAACACAGTCTTGACTGCAGTCTGCTGCGAGCTGCAGTGTAAACAAGTGTCCTTCAAGATTGTTATGTCTTTAATTAGTAGTTGATGGTCCCTGTGAATTTCAGCAGAACGGGAACTGATAGAAACATCTGCTTCACAAGCTAATCTGACTTGCTTTTCTCCGCAGTGTTTCCCTCGAGCTGCACTTCCTAGAAGCCAGTAGAAAGAGGGGCACGTGGATCACCTACTTCTGCACTTTAGTGTTCAAGTTGTCACATTGTTATTAACTTTGTCTGCCTGATTCCAGTTGTCCTACAGTATAAGGACAAATGCTTCAAGGCAGAAGTAACTGGTGATGTTTTTTATTACATAGAGGCATTCTTGTATATTTACAAGATATCCCCTAGCAGAAATAAAAATCCTCACCAAGACCTGATGGAGGATAGCAACAGTTCCATACTTAACATACGAGGTGAGGGAAAAGAGACTATTTTTATGGTGGTAGTAATTTACAGTTATTTTTCATGAAAGTTTAAAGCCAAACAAAGTTTCCTGTTTATGATGATTTCCATTAGAAAGAAAGTAATAATCAATTTCTGTTGCTCTTTCCAGGAGGCTGTACTACTGTTCAGTTTGCTCTGACTTGAAATATGAACTCAAGGGTTAACAGATATAAACTGAATTGTCACATACCAGCTGCCATATCCAGATATCTGAATTCTTTTTGCTTTTTTCAGTTGTTCCTGATCCATAAACTATAACCTGAAAAAAAAAAAAAAAAAAAAAGTCAAGGAAGAAAAGTAATAGATTCATCCCCATGAGTGAAGTGTACAGATTCATCTTCCTACAGCACTCAAACATTCTATTTTTAAAGAAAAATGTTCATAGAATCTGACATTATTTTTACGGACATTAAAATTCACATTACGTTTTGTATTCTCATATTGATTCCTCCTGATAAGATAAAAAGGGAACTGATCACACCTGCCACTCCTTATGCTCCTCTGTATCCTCACTTATCTATTCCCACTGCCTCCTCCCACTCCCAGCTTGGCATCAACATCCTTCCTGCTTCTGTTCTGGGAACAGGCACTTCCTCCTCGTGAACTCTGGGCCCCGTCAAGAACCTGCTGAAGTAAAAAAGATTCTCCCAATATTAAAAAGGCTGTGGATCAGACCTTATTTTTCTTCACTGCCTACCTTCTCTGTGTTCTTCTTGACAGAACCGTGCTCCCTGCCACTCCACTGTCAGATAGATTCGATTCTTCAGAGTGTGACTTCAAGTAACCCAGGGAGAGAATGTTTTGTAAACTGTTGTGCTGTCAAGTGGTGACAGCTTCATTTGCACCCAAACTGGACTGTGTTTGACTGGCCAAGAAATGCAATACTCTAGCATGGCCCTGGCCCTTGGGTGCTGTACAGTTCTCTTTGTTTCCATATTATGTAGGTTAAGAAGAGAAAAAAAAAAAAAAAAAAAACCACTGTGTATTTACACGTTCAAATTAGACTTGGCAACAAGAATGCTATAGAAACATACTGGGAAGCTAAGCACACTCGTGAGTAGTATTTGCATCATGCTGGTATTTTTGATTCGAGAAATATGGGAGCGAGGGATGGAGAGAACTGTTTTAGTCCCAAAGAAAGTGAATGGAAATCAGACTCAGGTTGATTCTGCACACAGCAATGGCTGAGATGGCAGCCCCCTGCCCTAGATTCAGCAGGGCAATGGACAACAGTGAGCTTGTACAGGGGCCAGGCATGCTAAGGGAGTATAGTTTTCTCTGTTGTGAGGCCTGGATTCATTAAGTCTGAATACAAGGCACCTATTATCTGTACCTTTAAAAATCTCACACTTTTATAGCAATTTAAACTCCTACCTCTGTTTCAAAAGTATCTCCAAACATTCTCAAGGATTGCTTCTGATTTATTTCTCCCCGATGATCATTCAACCAGCCTTGGAAGGAGAATGGCTCCATTACAGAAGAACAATTTAGAGGGAAGGGTGTTTCTTTCAGGAGCTCATCTGTAAAAATGGCAGAGAGTTGTCAGTGACATTTCTCTGGATCTTCGCAAACTTTTGCTGTTGCTTACAGCTTGAAGGGCTCAATATACAGACATTGTCTAATTAAAAGATCATGACCATAGCACTGTTGCCACATTTATCATGACAGTACTTGAGGTTAAGATGTGTGTCTTATTTGGAGTCTAGATGAGGTTGCTTCTCTGTAGCTGTTGTCAGAATTGTTACATGTCCAGGCTTCTTAAAAATACATTTGATAAGTATGCATATAGTTCTTCTTAATGTGTTCTTTGTTTCAGACAAGCTTTCAGACAAGCTTGTGTCTTGGTAAAAAACTGGTATGTCATTTCTGACCTTTGCTGAGTCGCTTCTTACACATCCCCATGTGAGTGGAATGAGACCATACAACCACCCAGTTCTAACAGAGTCAGTACTGGCTTTTGTGCTTCTTCTCCCCTGGGTGTTATTAAATACACTGTCCACACTGAAGCCAACTGGGTATCTCTTTAAGTTTAATAAAAGGCTTTTTTTGTGGTGTTCCTGCATTTGTAGGTGGATTTAATTTCTAATAATTTTCCTTCAGAACTGATTTAATTTAAAATAGCTGGAGGACTGAATGCAATTTAACTGTACCTAGTAAAATTCAAGCTTTGTGCTGTGTGTTACTGCTATATGAAATTAACCTTAGTCATTTTCCAGCTCAAAGTGAAATGCAGAGACAGTGCAGTCACCTTGGGGATTCTAGGTAGTTTGTCCTGAGAAGCCACTGTGGAATGCCCCTAGAACAATTTCAAGTAATTATGCCAGCCTAGATGCAGGAAAAACTCACTAGATGGCTGTCTCCCAAAGGCATCAAGCTCATGACCTCACAGCCAAATTTTAGCCTAAATCATAGGAAGAGTAGGTTTTATTAAGTATCAGTATATTCCTTATTCAGAGTTGTTCTGATTCTTTCTAAAGCCATCCTTCACTGCTCTGCAGTGTTCTGAATGCATCCCCACAGGCTTTCAGGAAAAGCTATTCCAGATGCAGCCACTGAACGATGTATGAAAATGTGGTCAGTGTATCTAAGGCTCAGCAGTTTGCTGCATAAGATGCTCTCATTTAATGGATCATAGTATGCACCAAGCATCTATACTGATCTTATTAATCTCTAGAAGATCTGGATGGGAATGCCTTTTTTTTTTTCTTTTTCCAGTGGAAACAGATTTTGCCATTAGAATTTCTTTCTTTCTTTCTTTCTTTCTTTCTTTTTTTTTTTTCATTATATTAAACTAAATGGAATAAGCCAATAAGTTCCTGCAAAGCAAAGCTCCTCTTTAAGGAGCTACAGAATTTGTACATTAATCTGCAGTAAAAAATAATAGAAATTGGAAGCTTTTCTCCTTTCTATGTTTAAAAAAATATATATCTACTTTTACATCACTTAACTCATATTTAGCATATTGATGTGGAATAGCAAACTCCACCAAAGAAAGTAAGAAGGGAAAAAAAAAAATCTTTATATTAGATTTATTCTAATTTGGTCCTGGAAGCATTAAGAAGCTAAATCTAAATACTATATACTTTCTTGCTTTATAAGATTACAATTTTGGTGATTTATTTTCACAGCAGTATGCCTGTTGTTGTTTTCTCACTTTTCAGAGGTCCATCAAATTTCCTTTGGAGGTCATTAGAAACACTGCACTTTGTCCTTAAATTATGGATACACTCAAGTGCAGCTGTACTGCAAAGTAGTTTTTTGGTTAGAGACAGCTACAATATAAATGTCTAAAATACCATTATGATTCAGATTCTCACACAGATGAAAATAAAAAAATATGAATGTCTAAAAAATCATCAGAAGGCATATTCATACACAAGAAGAAGAAAAAAATAAAGAAGTTTAATCAAAAGGTTTAATCAGAGCAATGAGTTTTCAAGTAGATTTTAAAATACTTTCTTTCACCATTGGTAACAGTCTTAATTTTCTAAATCAATATGAAGACAGCAGAGATTTTTCTCTTATTAGAATAAAGCAAACCCCTTCAGTGTAGGAAAGCCTTTTTGAATATAAGAAAGTTAGCAGCTGGTAGAGATTTAGTAAAGTATATATACATATAGTATTTAGTAATACATATATGTATGGGAATTGTTGAGTCTTGGCCTGAACCACTGATTGATCACCTGGGGAAAGGACCCAGTCAGCCCTGGGAGCACAGGTGAAGGCAATTCAGCTGTGTGACCAGAAGGTGTGGAGCCTGGCTGCACCTCTCTTAGACCTCATTTAAGGGCTGACTGCCAAGGGAGAAGGTTTCTGGAGTTCCCTTCTTTTGGAGTTTTGTATTACGAGCCTAGGATAGGTGTGAGTATTTCATTTTTGATAGTCTCTTCCCACCATGATAATCTTTCTAATTATAAAGCTGTAAAATATCATCCTAACTATGCCACTCTTCTAACTGTACATTTCTTAATTTTACTATGTGTACACAAAACCATGAATATATTATTTTCATATCTATCAGTATATATATATAAACATATATGCTATATGTGTGCATGATATGTATATATTTATATAAAAATATCACTATGCCATAAGAATCCTGCTCAGCATCGCAGGGTGCATCTTCTCCACAGATCAAGTATTAGCATCAAGTAAAGAAGTCAGTTCTGGCTTCATTTGCTGGAGAGTGAAAAGCAGCAAGCTAAATTTCTAGAGTGGATACTGTGATATCACAGTGGAAGGATACTCTATAGATATCGCATTCAGTTGCAAGGAGTTTGGGGGTAAAAAAGCTAAAATATTCCTTTGTGAACTAGGCAAGAAGCAAAGGGAATCTAATGATGAAAAGTAATTATATACTTCTTAGGTAGTATCTTAGCTTCTTACTCTTAGTCAGACTAGTTTTGCCAGTTCTTCCTAGTTCTTGGGATCTCTGACTCCAGCTGTGCTGTTCAACAGGACATCTCACTGTACAGGACTACAGGAAAGTAATTTACACTTTGCCTTGAGCATGCATAACAAATTCTATGCTTATTATAGTGCACTGTCCTTTTCTTTTTCTTTTTTTTTTTTTTTTTACTAAGTGCCCATGAATCACAAGTACAATTTAATTCCAAGTGAATACGAATAATCTTTTAAATTTAATCCTTGCCCTAAAGAACTGATGATCAATCTTCTGATGCTTTCTTGTTAGTGGGACATAGTGATGAGTTCAGAGCTTATTCCTAATTCTGAAGTTAATAACACTTAACTGGTGACAGTGTAATGGCCTCTGAAAACTGAGTCTGGACAAAGTGAATGTTTAACTTGACCCATATAATGGTTCTGTTACTGGTTACGGAAGGGCAAATAGGAGAGTGCTTTGATGATGAAAAACGTGACGTAATATGTCTGACGTTGCCAGTGGTCTGCTTGACTGGATTCTCATCTAGCACTGACATGCATTCCTTGCATGAAGTGGAAAGCTGCAGATGACCTAATGCTTGTGAACTTGAGCTAAAGAGCTACAACAAGGAGGACATGATATTCTGTGATCTTGCATATACTGGAGTTGAAGCATAATGTTTTCAAAGGAATGGAGTGTTTCCTATCAGCTTAATGCCCTATATTTAGATATTTTTCACGTATATATCTTTGCTTAGTCTTGTATGTTAGTTTTCAATAACAAGAAATCTGAGTTGGCTTGTTTCCAGAGTTCTTATGTTGCATTAGTACTGTGAAACAAAGCATGATGGTGAAGGTGAAAATTATGCTAACAAACTGTAGGAAGATGGCAATGGCAATTCTAAGCTAGTCAGCTGAAAGCTCTTCATATTTATCTCAGAATGATGAATCACTGAGTGAAAAACCAAATCTAATACATTCCAAATGTACTGGTCAGGAAATCCATTTAAATAGTTCCATAGTTAAGTTCATTTTTGGACTTCATTATTATCAAATAAACACCCACAGCAACGTTCTTTATGTTTTTTACCACTCTTTTCAGTGGTGATATTGTGTATGGGAACTGTTAGGTCTTGGACTGAACTAGTGATTGAGTACCTGATGGTCAGCCTTAGGAGCACAGGTGGAAGCAATTCAACTATGTGACCGGAAGGGGTGGGGTGAGGTTCACTCCCTCTCACACAGACCTCATTTAAAGGCTGGCTGCCACAAGGGAAGCATCTCTTCTTGGTGATTGTTGTCTTTGGAGTGTTTGGCAAGTTCTGATGCTTGAAAAGGGGTTAAGTGGTTCCTTATATATTAATAGATAATGACTTCTATTTTTGGGGGGCTAATTGAAACTGGCTTAAAGCAGCTATATTTGTTATTGCATACATTTGTGTTATGTTAACCTGAAAAAATGTTGTGTTTGCTGAAAGCACTGTTCTTGCTCGTTGTGAACACCCCTCCATCTTGAGTGGTGCCTATCTCTGTGGGCTGTGGTCTTATCTCTATGCAAAGGCATCAGGAAAGCCCTTTTGCAATAGTGTCATTTTCTGTAGTAGCAATAAATATCCATATCCAAAAGGGAATGTTTAGATCCTCTTATCCTTTAACTGAGCATAAACATGGTCTAGGCAAGGGGTAAGGAGTTATTTTAGAATTATGTGTTGTTTTTTTTTTTCCTATCTACTTTATTATTATCCCTTCCATCTCTTAAGGGATGCTATATAATAGTGAATAGTTCTGATGTGACTTTTCTTACAGTTTCATGTTAAATTGCCAATGCTGGCAATAATATATACCCTGGGATGCTTTTCCCTGCATGTTCTTACCTAATTCCTGGAGTAGCCATTCTCAATGTTAATGGAAATGTCAGTGAGGCTAGTAGGAGTTTAATACCTCTGCAAATAAAATTATCTAAAACATGTGGACTGAAAGACATAAATTTAGGCACCTGGATTTGGAAAAAAAAAAAGTAGTTAACCTACTCCATATAAAAGTCTAGAGCTAAAGCACGAACAATTACTACTTTGGAATTAGTTGGTTCATTTCACTGGTGCTCAGTATAGATGCGGAAACATTCAGCTGAAAATGCAGCATTCACTGGCTGTAATCATTCTTTTTCCTGTGTAACTGTATTTATTTTTGTAGCGTGTCCTGAGAACTGGTGTGACTGCTAACTTATGACTTGTCCATGTAGTTATTTCTAGGCACATTTTTCTTTGTGTCATTAAATCTGTGCTAGAAAATAAACACTTTCTTAATTGAGACAGAAGTTTGATGTGTAAAGCTTTGAACAACATTACTGTAATAAAGAAATATTGCCTCTCCAAAAAGAGATATCATCTTCCAGAAGGAAGAGGGTAAATTAAAACAACAAAATTGCAAGATTTAGTTTATCTTTCTGCTTAAAGGCTTGTCACAATATAGCAAGGTCATTGTAATTAAGAATGCCAGGCTTTAGCCTTTGACCAGGATTTGGAGTACAATCCTAAAATTGGGAAACTTACCTACTGTTTCTGAGTCTGCCTTTTATGTGGCTGTGGGTGTCACATTGTCTCCTTCTATGGAAGAGTAAGTGCCGTAAACCCTCTCTACGTTTGTGGGATGAGGCTTTGTACAGTACGTGTGAGCTATTATTACTAAATAGCCTTAGAAACTCCAGTGAAAATGTCAGACTGACAGTGTGAGTTGTCTGTTTCGGATGTTGCTGTCTGGGGAATGTTTAACAGTGAGAGGGAAAAGGTAGCTACCTTATTAGGGAAGATGTACCTGCTGTGAGACTGCTCTGAGCTTTAGATCTTTTTAAAATACTGGATTTTTTTTCCTGAAGTCTGAATGGAAAGAAAACAATTTTATATGGCATTTCTCCCAATTTTCATGGCAGGTTTATTATATACATTATGCTCTTAAAGGTCAGAAGTGTCTTGCTTCCTATGGTGAAGCACAAGGAGAGCTCTCAGATTGCAGTTCATGTTCTGCCTTCCCTGCAAGAGACTCAGCTGAGGATACTGCAGGAAAAGCACTCTTCTTCCTGGAGACCTTGGGTTTTTCTTTGGTGCTGTCATTAGTGGTTCTGAGTCCTAAATCAACTCCTGGCTCCAAGGAACTTGCAGCGCTACTTGCTTTTGGATGATACATTTAGGTTTCGGATAGAAGAATTTAGCAGCAGTTTCATATGGCAGCCAGTGTACTCTGGATGATGTAATCCTTCTTTATTGGTCTACTAAATGTTGCTAACTTAAGTTAGTTGTGATCTATTTGGTTTGTCTGAACTCTTCATCTCTATCATTGGCTGTATACTCCTTGTGGTGGTATATATCTGTGTGGTATGGAGTGTTGTTAAATATAAAGGAAGGGGAACGGATGAAGCAAACGAGAGGTTGCATAGTTAAGTGGGATTGTATGTATATGTTAGATGACTCTAGTCTCTTCCAGGCAGCCTTTGGAGAGAGATGAATGTGGCCTGGGAGATTCTTACAGTTTCCTGGGCAGTTATGGTTGGTTCAGGCAATTCAAAATGCTTGACTGTTTTTAGTCAGCTTGAATACTGCTCTGTCCTGTAGACTTGCTGCTGGCAGTTTGCAAAGTACATTGCCAAGGGGAGTATTCCTACTATCCAAATGCTTGAATGCTACTTGTTTTAATATGTGTATGTGAAGCAGAAAGAAGATGAGTAACATTACAGATATGTGGGAAGTACCTAAAAGATGAGAAAAGAGAATCAAAAATTCCCTAGGTATTAAATGTATTCATCCTCCTTGAAAAAGGAAAGAGAAGTTTTCTTAAGCCCTATTACAAATGGTTAACAGAAGAGGCTAATAATTTGGTACAAAATCTTTCCAGGAAAGGTGCCTCAAGTAAGGGTTGCATGCATAGTATGTTTCTGACTGATTATATTTTACTTAAATGTACTTGTCTAAAAGCAGGTCTTTTTAATGGTACTCCTGCCTCTTCATGTATTCTGATTATCCTGCTCCCTCCTTGGAAGGAGACTTTCCCTACTGTTGGCTAAGCCAGAAAGCATAAATAAATAAGAAGTCTGGACATAGGCATGGAGGCTCTTTTGTTGGTTTTACATTTAAAAAAAAAAAAAAAAAGGCAATTGGACCTTGATTCCATTTATAGCTTTCCTGTATGAGTGAGCTGCAATCAAGGTATTCTTTGAAAATGTTTTTCTTCCATTTATCCCTGAAGAGAAAAGGCAATATTTCTGACTTATGTATAAATTAAGTTAAGAGTACTTCAGACGGCACTTTAAAAGTGAAGGGATTCTGGATTTTCTGAAGAGAAATTGAAAGAAGAGGCTGAAATCCAGCCCTTTGCATAGACTGATTTTAATCTTACAAGTGTTATGCTGGTTATTGACATCTGCTTCTTAAGAAGGAAAAAAAGACAAAAAAAAAAAAAATGCTGCTGAGGGAATAGATCCAAAGCATTATTTCTGTCACTGCTATAACTAAAAAATCTGCTATCTTTATTTCTCTGTGCACAAGATACCACTATGACTTTCAGCTTCTTAGTGTTCAAGAAAACTAAACACTGAAAAAGCTGAGAAGCTACCTAGGCTGAAATCCAGCCATATAACTTTGCCTGCCTTTTGCTTGTAGCAACAGTTAGGATACAAACATTTTAAGTATTTGTTGTCTTGACTTAGAGACTAATGTAAGGATTACAGAATAGCAGAATGGCCTGGGTTGGAAGGGACCTCCAGGATCAAGGATCTCCAACCCTCCCTGCCACAGGCAGGGCCACCAACCTTCACATGTAATACAAGACCAGGCTGCCCAGGGCCCCATCTGATCTGGCCTTGAACACCTCCAGGGATGGAGCAGAATCCAACTGGGGGGGAAAAAGGTGTGTTGAGTTCTGAGCAAAATATGAACACTTACTTGTTTTACTTATTTATCTTTAAAAGGCTTTTTTCAACTTTAATTGAAGTTTCTCATGCCTTTTGGCCTTGGTAAAGTTTATAAGAAAAAGCTCATTTACTGGATTTATCATTAACTTTTCAAACTTTTTTTTAAAAAGTATTGAGGGCATCAACTTCTGATTGTCAGGTCTATTCTTTCACTCTCATCTTCTGCAAAAGTATTGTCAAAATAAATCTTTGTTCTTTTTCCCTGTTTTGAAATAGTTCATTTGCTTCTGATGTTATGATTATTATTACTAGATGATCATTATGGTGCTTTTCAACCAAGGCCATTCTATGATTCTATAATATGATTCTATGATATAAGCACTTAGTTCACACTGGTGAGGGACACTTAGTGGAAATCTATGTATTGAACATGGATAGTATGTGTGAGAGAATATTCTTTTTATTACAGCAGCATCTAGAGGCTTCATCTGAAATCATACTTTCTGTGCCAGTCAATGTGAAAGCACAGTGAAAGAAAGCAGCTGTCCTATATCTCCTCATTTCCAAAAAGGAAAAAAAAAACACACCATGACTCAAAAAGCAACTAGGCAAAAGATAAATATAAGGGTATTACTCTTTTGTGTTTCGGGGTAGCAAAGCATGTCATACAGGTCATCTAGACCTGTGAGTACTAATGTAGTGCTTTACCTGTAATCAGGACTATCTCAGCTGTGATGGTAACCTTCTGGGAGTCTGAAAGAGCTCGAAGTAAACTAAATACATTTTGATGTTGCATATAAAGAGAAGCAAGTTCTAGGAGACAAGACTTCTTTAAGAAGCACAGTTTTCTGAGAGGCACACTTCATAGTCATTCAGAGACACAATGTTAAAGGTACAGGTGCAGTCTTTCAGGCAGTTTTTTGTCTGGCTTAATGTTTCCTAAATGCAGAGGATTGTAAGGCTGCTGTTCCATACAGGACTCTTCTGTGAACTTATTATTTGAGGGAGACCAACAAAGGCACCTATGTTTAAGGAATGTGCTGTCACAGAAAAAATCTTAACCCCATTTTAGTATTTGAGTAAAAACTTTGCTCCCGTACCAATTGAGACTAAATAGCTATACAGCCACTGACTTTATGGTGACTGTCAATCTGAGAAATGCAGTAATATGGAAATAAGGCTTTTTTCTCTAATCTCTATCAGAGTAATTCATAAAAACCATTTTGTTTATGGCATTTGAAAATGGATATGGAGATTAAGGACAAATTAATTTGAAAACTTTTTAGAGAAGGAAACTAAAATATACCTTTAACTTGTGATGTGCTGTGTAATTTAAGTTAGCTGTCCTGCAGCTGTAAGAGTAGTATAACTGAGTATCACAGCAGTGTATGTGTGCACATCCACAAATTTCCTTGTTGGACTATCTACAAACAGAGGCAAAATAAAAAGGGGTCAAGATAGCATAGAAATAAAATGCTAAATAGATCATGTCCTACGTGAACTGAAAGCGTGACCATTTGCCTGTGTCATTATTTCTCAAGTTTATAGGTGAAGGAGTACAAATATGCAGTTTGTAGATTCAACTCACTAAAACCACATTTTCTATAGTTGGAAACAAATTTTTCTTGGCATGAAAGAAAGTTACAGATACTGAGATTTTTGTACAGTTATCAGATGTCTTAATGTGAACAGCCAAGATTTTTTTGGTAATCATGTATAAAGATTTTATTTATGATTAATGAAAGATTAGTTATCAAAATAATTTTCATTTACAAATCTCACAGAAAAATAAACTTGGCAATCTGTCATACGGTCATGGTCATACGTGGACAGAATCAGTGTTCAATCAGATGCAAATTAATTTCAGAAAAAGACATGTTACCTGGATTTGGTTTTCCAGTTTTATATTGCCTGGAATTGAAAAACCTACAATAATAAATATTATGCATCATTTAAAAAGTTATGCTCATGTCTGAACAGTCATAGAGATTAAGCAGTAATACTGAATACAGCTATGCCTGGTCCTCATGTATTATCACATGTACTCAGCAGGGCTATACCAATTTTATTGGCAGAGGGTTGGGTTGAAAGTCCTCAAATTCATATCACTAAAAAATTCCCTACTCTGGTGCTGTACTGATTTTTTTTTTTTTGCTTGCTCCTTGTACGATTTTACTTGGATGCAGTTCATCATTAGTGAACATTTAGCAAATTAGTAAGTTTATTGACAACTTCTGCATATTTCCTGGGAAGCAGCTGCTTTTTACAATACTTAGCAAATTTGCCACTGTCCTGATTATTCATGTACAATATGGATTAAAAATATTCAAAACAATGAGTGAAAGAAGCCCAGAAACAGTTCATAGCTTTACCTAGTTAAACTAGACCCAAATATTCATTCAGTTCCACTCATACTTAGAAGTGTGCTCTTATTCATTCACAAAGTATGTTACAGGTGGATATGGGGAATTCTTTTAAGATCGAATGTAATGAGGTTTGGGATATACAAGATATGATTAAAATCTGCGGAGCAACGATTTACTTTTAACAAGTCAATGTAAAATGCAGTATAAGAAAAAAGTGAAGCACATAGATCAGAGATTGATAATGGTCTATTAGATCATTTCTAATGCTCTTCTAAAATTTAAAAGTTTTAATTTAGAAAAGAAATTAACAAGCTTACTCTTGAATTATTGGTGCAAGTTGAGTGCCAAGATCTTCACAGTGAAACCATTTTTCAAAGAGGACATTAGTTGATGTTCCCACATAGTATCTGACAAAGTGAAAGCATTAGTCAGTCTTTTATTAACTAACAGATCAGGTAGTTTGAGTCTTTTCAGGAAAGCAGCTACTTAGTGTGCCCTATTCTCAAGATTGGTGTATTTTGTTTTGACACATGGTTATTTAGGGAAGTTTTACACTTCCCTAGGAGTTTTGCTGATCAACCATAGATAATTCATGAAATTCTCTTCACAAACTTTCCAGACTTAATCCCAGGAATTTAATTGGTCCATAATACTTCAGGATCAATAGCTCTTGCTTTAGGTAAAGTTACTACAAAAACAACTGTTATCAAATAACAGAAACAGTTATTGGGGACTGTAAGTATTAGATAAATATTCCTTTTAATAGTCCACTTGCTAATTGTCTGTGAATGGGGTGATAAGAATACACGTTGTTTACAGACCTGTTTGCCAAAATTTATATGGGTTAAAATTGCATAAATTTGGGAGATATTTAGTTCACCCTCCTGAAAAGGAACTCAGTATTTTACTTGCATTATTTTGTCTTAACAGTTAAATTGTGCAAAGATCAGTTGGACACGATAGTTGTAGTCCATGGAATGGCACATATAGAATTTACCTACACATTTTTAAAAAATATGATAAGGCAGGGATATTTCAGTACAGTCACGTAATACAAGTGATTGCAAGTAGATCTTATGTGCCCTTGGGGTTAGTGACTGGAATTAATGTTTGAAGAGGTAACAAGGCTTATAAGACTATATACTCTGGTGTATTTATATTAATCATGTCTGTCATATGACTATATAAGTATTGCCAGAAATTTTCTACAAGCTCCCTAGTTCAAGTTTTGCAAAAAGAAAGTTCTTGGAAGTGAGAAGCATCATTAATGCCTCCAGTGTGGAAAAAAAAACCTGTGCTATGAGCACAAATTTTGGACACCTGTAAATCTACAGAGAAGAGAAACGTTACAAATGTCTTAGTCAAAGAAAGTCTATGAAGGGCTTTACAACTTCTGAAGTACTAAAGAATCCAATCTAACATCTAAAACCAAACTTTAACTTCTTTACTACAGGATTAAGTTTTGCTAGTGCATTTTTATTATAAAACAAAGAACGTTAACATTAATTAGGCTGAAACACTGGGACATGCTCTTTCACTTGCACAATGATCAGCATGCTGGGGGCTCTGATTTATGACAAGCTTGTTGGCATGGTAAATAATGTAATGACAGCATTACATTAGTCCTTAAGTCAGCATGCTTCAGAGCAATCTTTTGCTGTTGATGAGTGGAAGTTTGACAAGAACAGAAGCTCTGGTTGTAAATCCTGTTTCCCCATAGCGTGCACAGAGCCAATGTCACTTCAAAAACAAAAAAAATTACTTCCTGAACTTCAGGTCTTTGTTCGTAATTTCAGTATAAAAACACTTCAGTGATTTATTTTCAGATACTTGATTAATATTTTCAATGAAGAGCATGCTTTGTTTAATTATTTTTTTCCACCTGCTAACCATATGCTAGCTTTTAATTAGTTTAAATTTTCCCCAAGAACATGACTGTATCACACTGCAAATCCCTACTTCTATCTGCCTTGGAAAGCTATTCAACATCTATTCAACTTACGCCATTCCCAAACTTCATGTACAAGACATGTTATTTTATTTGAAGTTACATAAAGCTACTTAGGTGTTTTATTTCAAGTAAACGTTGTTTTCCAGATCACTAGTTAGTTTTCAGTTCAACGTATCTTTTTTAATAATGCCAATATTCAGAATTCAGGCCTGCTATGAAAATAATAATAATTCAAAAACAAACAAACCAACAAAGTGCATAGATAAATGCTGTTTCAAGTTAGCTGTATTTGATTTCAGCTTGGAATCCATTCCAGTGACTTTCTGAACAGTACCTTTCTTAGTTTCCCACCTCTTTATATTTTTGTTTGAATAAAAAGTATTTCTAGCTTGCATATTCATGGTCACCCTGCTATGATACAGCCCATGCAACCACCAAAACTGTAGGTGAAAGGACAGAAACATTACAAACCTTGCTGAAATTTTAAATCTTTGTGAATTACATGAGTAACTATAATTTCACTTTGGTCATGTCCATTTAATGAAAAAACAACCTTTCTGTCTGCTGTGACTTGTCCTCCTAGACTTATGAAGGCTATAAGATAGCAGAACAAGGCTTATTCCTGCTCCCACTAGAATACTAAATAAAACTCTCATTTATTTGAAGACATTGTTCTTATATAGCAATGAAATCTAGGCAGGTGTGTTTACCATGTAGAGGTGTTGGTGTTAAGAAAACTGACTTTTATTTCCAGCTACCCGCACAGTTGGCAGAAAAACTCATATTCATCTTTTTGCTTTCAGTGCTTAAGAAGGAATTAATGTTCAACTTGCCAGAACTGATAGAAAAATCTTTTCTGATTTGTGCTGTTACAAAACTGAGACTTTAAAACTTCAAATGATAGTAGTAAGCAATATATATTTTGATAGCTATAATTGTAGCACATATTGTAGGGACATCTCAACCTGTTCTTTGTTTGACTAAGCCAAACACTGCATGAGATCTCTGTATATGTTTGTATGGATAAATTTCTGGACAAAAGTAGTGCAAAACTGCCAGGATAAGTCTGTTATATTACCAAGGAACTGAAACATAGTACTGTATTGACAAGATAAATTAATTGTGCATTATGAATCCTAACAGATTTGCCAACAATTATACTTCACCTGAGCCCATCCATTTCTGTCTTTTGTCTTTGCCTCTCAATTACAAGACCTACAGTGTCTGCATATCTTTGAGGAGAATGAGGTATCCTGGCAGGTAGGAGAAACATCTGTTCAGACAGAAGAAATAGGAAAGCATCAATGTTAGGAGGTCTTTGTTTCATCTGTAGTCCTTCTGCTGCAACCAACCTGTAAAGTCTTTTGTTCACTGCCCTACTTTCCTGCTACTCTGTGTTGATCTATGTTGTTCCTTGCAGCTGTATTTATTCAGTATCAATAGTCTATAAGATGTTGCTTCTTGCTTTCCCAGTGAATGATGACCATTGATTTAACAATCAGCACTGCCTTTATTGCAGTGTGGTGCTGTCCTTCCCAGTTCGATCACCATTGTTAGACACAATTAAAACAAAAATCTAACCATTTATTCTCTCTGAAATCTTTAAAAAATGTATTTACTGCAGTTTCTCAATAGCAGAGATAGAAACAAAAAGCAAATTGGTTGTTAGCTCAAGATTTCTGAACTAATCATTCACAGGTGTCCCTGCAACTTTGCAAGACATGTGACTGCACAATGAGGAGTGTTATTCTCCAGAAATAATTAACAAATACGAGGGACTACTAATTCATGCAAGTGTCAGAAAAAGAATAGGTAACGTTTGGCTGGGAGAAGCCTTTTACTGAAGTTTGAAAGCAAATCTCTTTCTAGCAGCTATGTGACTATGTAAGAAGGCAGTAAGGCTGTGCTGTTCTTGAGTGCTACAGATTCCTATCTGAGTTTGGACAAGTCACTTCAGTTTCTCTGTCTGCGAGGTAGAACTAACAGTAGTGCTTCGCAAGGATTGGTGTCAGCCTTTCCACTAAGGCTGTTGTGTGCTCCTTCCCATTAATTCTTCTGGTATATGCCAAGGTAGATGTACTTGCCAGTGAGGAGTCTATTACTGAAATCCTCTTCTATAGGTTTGAAAGCTTATATCTTGATTTGTCGTTGAAAAGGTTGTAATACTTCCTTTTAGTGACACTAAGTTGTTGGGTCTATTACATTCCCTTCTCTTTAAAGAGTGGTCTCACAAGATCTAGTATTTAATCCTTTAAAAAGCTGAATGCAGTTCAAGCTTTGGACAATAATGAGTAGCAGTAGTAAAACATCCTTAGCAGTAACATCAAGAAAAACATCAAAAAAAGTCACAATCTCTTTAGCAGCATTGAACTACGTGCTGTAGCAAGTCAGCTACTATCTAGAGAAACATCTGAATACAGTTGGATATGCTTTATTTATAAATACACTTTAAAACTGTTCTGATATTACAGTGGTTGTGAAAGCTAGTGATTAGAGATTAACTGTTACTGAAATCGTGAAATGTTGCGTAGAGCATTATAGTTTGTTGCTAGTTATATGGAATTTGCTATATTGCATCCAAGCTTTTATTACATATATTTTTTCCAGCCCAGTGTCACCTCTTACACGGCAGTGATAAATTGATCTTGAAATACTTCATAAAATATTAATATACCTATGTAAAACAATAAGAGAAAAACAATCATGTTTTACCTCCCCTTCTCTGATGACAATGTCTTTATGCTTCTTATTTTCAATTATCTTCAAACACATGTCACCTTTCACTTGGTAAAAAAGCTGAAGGAATAGGAAAACATCATTGGGTCAGATGCTCCAAAATATTCTGTACTTCATCTTCTGTATGGAAAGGATATATGTACAAATACATTCGTCCTGTTTGCAAATAGATTCTAACTTCCAACCTTAACTGTTTTTTAAAATTTTATGAAATATGTATTATTACATTATCTGTGCATATACATATATGACGGTCTGTAATTGCTTGAAGAGCTCTACTGTAAATGCAGTGAAACTCTGTTCCACTTTCTCTATTCCTGTCAATTACATTTTGCAGGACTGGGACTTTATGGTTGAGATATCTGTTAATTCAGCTGGATATAAAGCTCCATTTCTGCTGTTTTTCATTACAGATGCATCAGGGTCTTCACTGTTAAATTCAGTCAAATTAAATACCACTTTTTCCAAATATGCTCTAAGCATGCATGCCCATTTGCCTGAGGTGTGTGGTGTTTATTATTTTTTCCCAGAGCTTTCTCATGTGGGAATAATTGCCTGTATAGAAGCTGTTCTGCTTTATTTCTGTGGATACTTTGAAGCCCTGCAACAGCTGCTCCTCTGTGTGCTCCTCTGCCTACTGTGTATGTCAAAGGATTATGTCCTAAGCTTACATAAGGACAGGACCACTGAACTTGTAATTCTGTCTTCAGTGACCTTTCCATAGTTCTGTTTTCAGAGCAGCTTTGTTGGGGCTCTGAGGTGCCCAGATCTGGCCTCAAGTTTCATGGCAGATTGTGCTACAATCTGAAAGCAGGTCTCTTGTTGACCAGGAATAGGTCCCTCATTGACCCCAAAATGAGTGCATTTTTAATAATTTTCCGTAATGATGGACAGCAATAATCCAAACAATCAACTTTTCTTGTTTAGACATGCTCTGGCCAGCTTCTCATCTCATATTCTCTGTGCCATAGCCAGAAACCAAACAGACCAATTTATGCAGTTGTTGAAATTCAGGTTGAAATTGCCTGAAATCTGACTCAAGTTAGAGAACTACAATGAAATTTTTGATTTATAGTCATTAACTAAAATTAAAACTAAATGGAAATAAAGAGCTGATGAAAAACAAAGACAAAAGAAACCACCCAAGTATAACAAAAACCACAACCAAGCCTTTTCCACCATTAGAAAAGATTACTCAAGTTTTTAAATCAGGGTTATTTTCTGAAAGTTTTGAGGTATTGATTGATGTATTTGTCTGAGGATCCAAGGAACTCCTTTACAAATGTAAGAATAAATACACTGGCAAAGGAATGAAATAGCAGGGAGAACTGAATATACAGAATATACACTGAAAAAAAGCTCATGCAGAGAGCTCTTATGAGCTCACCTTGTACCAGAGAGATAATCATGGCTAAATTATAACTCTCGTCTAGGTAGCCACAATACCTGGCTACTTATCCTCCTTGTACTCTATGTTCTCCTCATATCATTTTCTTGTGTGCTACTGAATGACTCTATAAATGTGACAGTAGCACTCATTACTGAGCATGTCAGTCAAGGCTAGAATTGCTTACTGTAGAACATAAAAGGACTGGAGGAGAGGAATGACCTCTCCTTTTTTGTAAAGGCTCACCTTATCTAAAACATAACATCCTGATGAATTATCACGCAGGCCCTTGTTGGTATGGCACTGGCAATACAGAAATTGAAAGATTCCTTTTGAAATGGTGACTTTTGGAGTGGTATCTTACCTATGGCTACTGAAGGAGCTACTCCTGGATGCTTTGAGGGAAATGCTGATGAGGGGAAGAACAAAAGGAGAATTTTGTTGCTTGTGATGGATGAGCATCTTTCTTGTAATGGAAAGGTAAGGGGAAAGGGACCATTCAGCTCAATAGTAGAGCATTGCAGTCAATAGGAAAGATTCGTCATACAACACTAAATTTCAATTTAAAGAATTGTTTTGTGGTGGGAAAGGAGCAGTGAGATGGGCTATGCGTTGTTAATAGAAGTGTTTTTCTGTCTGAATTTAATACTACCTTTCATTGTAAATTATGGTCTATTCTTCAAACTTTTTTGGAGGAAATGTCAAAATGATTTAGTCATCCATAAATTATCTGATGTCACTCTGCAAGGTAGTGATTACCAAACTTACTGATGTGCTTATATTATACCTGAACTTTATTGAGGAAACTGTCAGCTTGTTCAGCATGTCAGTGAGTTACAGTCCATGCCCATTTCACAGGACGGTTTGCCAATAGAGTATTATCCTGCTATTTTGCTGGAACTTAAATCTTTCCTCAGTGCTTACTAAGCTTTGCATTTCAACCTCTTCTGATGTGCCTCCACCAACCCTTCCCCTCCCTCTCCCCCCCCAAAAAAAAATCCACACCTAAGTAACCAAGTGCTGGTGGGTGTGTATGATAATGCTTCAAACTGGATAGTGTGTTTGTTAAATTTCAGTGAAAGGCAGCAGGATCAGTGCTGAATCAATGTCAAGTCTGTAAAGAGGTATTCCACCCCAAACATGCAGACTCTGGCAGGCATTTCTAGCAGAAATTAGGTGGAGATATGGAGAGGTAGGATGTTTACTTCAGTGAGAGAGTAACCAAAGCTACTTGTCTTGGTAGGAATTCATTTCGCTAGGGGAGCAGAAAGTGTAAATACTACCTTCAAAACAGCAATATCATCCCTGCCATATGAAAGTGGTGGAACTACTGTCCTTTCATCCAGATGCATGCATCTTAGCAGAATAATAAAGCAAGTCATAGGGGAAGAACACATTATTTCTAAATGGTTTGCACAGACCAGCAACAAGTCTATTTAATGTAAAGCTGTGCAATAACAGTGAGTGTACGGCCTGCTAATTTATATCCAATATTGACATCTAGCTCTGCCTAGATATAGTAGCTCACAGTTTCGCGACTGCTTCTGTGGCTGAGCACTTATAAATAAACATCTGTAGATACCTGCAATTTGCAGTGTACTTCGTGTACTGCTTCTGAAAGTGGAATTTGGGATTGCTCAGCCACTTCAGGGATTAGGCTCTGACTAGGCATATTCTGGCTTGTGTTGCATGTTAGATTGTTAAGTACTGAATTAATTTGAGGAGCAAAGCAAATTCTGATGTGGGAGTAGAGTCTCTGTATTCTCCAGACTTCAGTAGTGACTGATCCATGTGAGAAGGGAAAAACAATTTTTCTCCCTTACTCATTACAAGAAAGGTAATCAGCCATCAGAAGTCAGGGAGGTAAACAGTTGTGACAGGCAGAGAAAACTACATTGTTTTTTCTTCTCATTTACACATCACCTGTGAAACATGAATACTATCCAAGTCTCATCCCAACAACTGTATGCAGCAAACTTATTTCTAATTCGCAATCTTTCTGATGTGAAAGGATCATTATTCTCACTGCTTTGTAATAATAGAAGCTTTGTTTCTTGTTACAATACTCTAACAGTTTTCACCAGATATAATGTGCTTTTTAAAATACAGGTAGCAAAAAAAGGTTTCTCTTGCTTTGACTCATGTTCTCAATTTTATTAGAGAGAAAAGCACTACAGTACCATCTATGGCATTGATGTCCAACCTTTTGTTTTGCCTGGGCCTCACTGAGTAAACAGGAACTGTCTTGGGTTGCATATACGTGAGCTGCTCTGAAAGTAATATCTGTAATTTCCATGGAAACTACACCAGATACAAAGAGCACAGTAAGGCTATTTGATAGAGCAAATTCTCAGCTACAAAACGCTATTTTCAGTACAGTCACCACCATTAGCTGAGCTTTTTCAGTAGTGGTGAGTAAGAGCCTGCATGCTAGACTTATTAAAAAAAAAAAAAAATCTGCACCAGTGAAGGTGACCCACTGTTGCTACTGCTTAAATGCACTCCCCCACCACCTCCCTGTGTTAACATCCATTTTTTGGTCTCCATAAACATTCAGCAAGCATTGATAAATGTCAGCAGGTGCCATTTTTTCTCCTTGGAGGAATTCAATAATGCACCTTTGTTCCATATGTGCTTCCATGTCAGACACAATTTTCTCAGTCTGCCCCTCTGCTGCCATCTGTCACACAGAACAACATGTAATGGGATATTGGTGGGAAAGTTCAGCATTTCCTGCCACACCACCAGCATCTGCCTCTGAAATTGTGACAAACATAATAAAAAAGGAGGCACTACTTTTGGAGCAGCCCTTGTAAAATATACAATACCTTTAATATTTAAGTAATAAAACATTTCGATTTTTAATATTTTTCTTAAAGCATTAAAAAGAGAGGAACCCAAACAAAACTGGTGGGATAGGTGACCCTGTTTTTATGAAACTAATGTATCAGTCTGGTTTGATGGCAGTAACTACAATTCTTAGTGACCTCTCAAGGTAATCATCAGATTTCTGATAAAATTTTATTCTCCCTATACTTCACCTTTGAAAATTCACGAATGTGTGTACTGCCAGAAAGTGATGATGTGAATAAGGTGTGGTTGTGAAGTGAAGAATATTTCTCTCTGTAAGAGAGGTTGAAATGGAAAGCGTAGCTGCCTATCTTTGCTGTTTAGAGAACTGTGTATAGCCAATGTATCAAAATGCATACAGTTGTATTTGCCATCTCTTGAGTCAGCACCGCCCTGCCCATGCCCTGTTTTTAGTTGACATGGTATTAATAGCATACTGATGGTTTAGTCGTTACTGAGTGATGCGTATGTGTCTGGGGAAGAATCTATGCCTTTATAGTGTGGGGCTGCAGGTTGGATGTGGCTGACCAACTGGAATGACTGTCAGAGCCCCTCCCCACTGACATCCATAAAATCTACAAGTCAGTCAAAGTTTCTAGGGGAGAGTTTCTCAAAAGCATGCTACCTAGAGAGCAGCATAAGCTAGAAGAAGGGAACAGCCTTCATTTGAGCAGATTTGTCAGAAATTGCAGCCATGTTCTGCTTGTGGTATGTATGTGAGGGGGAGAAAAAGAGAAAACAAAGCTCAGGTTGAGAAATGCAGATGAGCTCTGATAGACACATCTATGTCATATTTCAGAGACAAATACATCTCAAGCAGAACGGATAAATATGCTGGAAAAAGCTGAAGGGACTGGCCCAGGTATTCAGATGAGAGGGGAGCTTTCCATCCTGAGACTCCTCTTCAGGAGAGCGATGCCAAAGCTCTGATCTTTGGGGCTGAATCAGTATGTGCCTGGTTGTATCTATAGGAAACAATCTGGCTGCTGAGAACAAAAACTTTAGGTGGAATATAGCACAATGAGAAGCAGGGCTTTTAAAATCTAGTGCAATATTGTGCCAATGCAAATGTGTTGCAGGTGGCAGATGAAAGGCTGATTTGAATTTCTCTGCGTGGAAATGCACAGTTATCTCTAGACTCAACATCAGGTGTGAAGAGAACATGAATTGTAACAAAACTAAAAGCAGTTATTTGAGATTCATTTTGTTTAAGTGGTGGACTGGAGTAGGCAGAGAGGAGCCTAACTAATTTTGTGATACTACATTTAGAATATCTCGCCTTCCCCCAAAGCAGCCCACACAATGCAATAAATAAAATCTGAAAATGATTTTACTACAGTTAAATTTTGTTATGATCATGGTTTTTTATGTGCCATTAACTTCCTCTGAAACAAATTGTTCCCTTCAGTTTTCACTTACCTTATTTCTGGGAAGCTATAAGATGAATGAGATAAAATTAAGCTCTTCCCCCACTCAGGCTTCTCAAGTAAGCAAAAATGTAGTAAATACACAATGAATTCTGTGAGCTGTATAAACACCCTAACTTTGTGCCACAAATACGTGATGTCAGGACTGCTGTACAAGCTTTCAGTACTTCACATAGGATTCATACAAAAACTTGCTATATAGAATAAATGCTTTCTTTTTAGTACAAACTAAGGAAACTTTTTCTGCATAGCTATCTAGGTGCTTCCTCACATGATTTTGTCACATTTTAGGAGAAGATGCATTTCCCAAAGCAATTCAATTTTGCTTTTAGTCTGTCTGAATAGATGTATGGTATTTTTTTGTTATCCCTGTCCTGACAGAGAAGGCTGAAGATGGAGCTTAAAATTTGTATTAAAAATAAAAAAAACAATGAATATGACAGTCAAAAATTCAAGCCAAAAAATGTCAATGGTTTATCTCTTGTAAGGTGCAGCTTAGTTTTGCTATTTATAAAATTTGTCCAATGGAAAACAACATCCTGTGTAGGAGACAGTATTTCTGTGCAGACAGATTGCAGCTCAGTAGTGCACAGAAAATTAGGAATGAACAAATTGTAAAGCTACATATATAGGAACTACTGCTTGCTGAGAATAGGAAAAAATTGTGATAGACCAGCCACTGTTTTAGTCTAGTTGATTATAGACTCCAAATGAAGTGACCAGACTCCCAGCCATCAGAACAGATTTTTCTGATATACCTGCGTGCCAAAGGTACCAGCAGACAACAGCTCGGGAGGAGGATTCTCCCAGGCAGTCATCTCTGCATGTCAACGGCTTCCTGCTGTGAACTGCAGACTGACTAGCATGCCTGCCATGAGGTACGAGCTGTGTGTGGTGACAGACATAAAATCATGTCTAAACAGATATAAACAATGCGGAATTTAACTCTTCTTTCCAAACCAAACCTTTTTGCCACCAGGATAATGGTTTAAAAAAAAGTTCCAGGTATATCTGCCAAGAGGATTATGGGGTTTTTGCGTTCATGATTTGGCCTGTAAACAGTATGTCTCTATTTTGGGTATCAAATTATCACTTGGTAATATAAATAACATTTTGTCTGCCAAAATAATTGCTGTACACTGTTTTAAATCTTTTTTTTCCTCTCTCTCTCATTTTTTTTTAATCCCAAGTCTAATTCAGGAATATACTCTTATACTAGGAAGATCTATTTTTTTCATTGAAAAACTTGGCCTTAAAGGATTAATTAGATCACAGGAAGTTGCAAATGTCTGATTAAAAAGCTATCGTAAAATGCAACATTTGAGCATATTGCATCTGTGTAAAAGCCATGGCCCAATTTATTCTGATACTATGAGTTCTCCTATGGTATGGAGTACAAATTGGATCTGTGATGGGGCTCTTATGCTTCCATTTTTAAACACTAACTAATTGTAGGAGAATTGCTATATAAAAAAAAATGTTAGGTATCAATACACCTGCAATGACTGAATTAGTAATAATTTACATACAGTAATAATTTACAGACATATTGATGTAAATTATTTCTCTATGGGTGTGGCTAAATTTTATACTGCTAAAATGTCATAGAATACATTTAGGCTTATTAAGGGCAGGCCAAATTCCTCTCCAGCACATCTAGCAAAGAAGAAAATGTGATGTAAATGATATTCGATAATCAGTGTGGGTCCCTTTCAACTCCAGACATTCTATGATATTCATCTGAATTCTGTTTTAAGGAAAGAGGAGGTAAGACACATATTTAAAATGAAACCAGACAGGAATTGATTGGGGACAAAGGATAAAGTAGCATAAACTGAAAGATGCAAGGAGAGATGAGGCCATAAAGAAGAGGAAAATACATAATTATTGTCTTTATATCCCTTCTATGGAAGATAGCCTTACCCCTGGCAAGGGGTTGGAACTAGATGATCTTTGAGGTCCCTTTCAACTCAAACCGTTCTGTGATTCTCTGATATTTAGTATTGTAGATCAACTGTTATTCCTGATAAACTTGATCTTCTTCTTTTCAGTCTATAGCTCTCACATTTTTTCAAAGCTAGAAAATAAAGTAGTTGTACAGAACCTGAAAGGCTAAGTTAAGGACAAAAAATTATTTGGAGTCATTCACTTCTGTGCCTGACTTGGTTTTATGCTTTGCTAAACCTTTATGTTACTGACCTTTAGAAAATCCACTCTTTGTAATCTAACTTGTCAACGCTTACCCTCCTGTTATGGCATATTGTTACAGATGAGATTTTCTTTTCAGTGTTTTCTAAGCAGTCAGGCTACAGAATGTGGTACACAGCCATGTTGGCAAAAACACATTTTATTTTCTTCAGCTAAGTATCTCTGGAATTTTCTTGTTAAATGCATGACAGATGAGAAATTTTTCTGGCTAACAACCACCACTTAGTACCACACTGCCCTGCTTCTCACCCCCAAACAACTTGCTGGCATGACACCAGGTGTGGTCAGGGCTGTCCCTATGTAGCTGATGAGATTGAAGCCAGGGAGCAGGGTCAGACAGGGCTGTGCCCATAGCTGAGAGTGGGTGGTTGGACTGCTATGGTTGTGCAAAGCAGGCAGGTGTCAGACACTGATAAGATGGCAACTGATCTTTCAGGATAGTAGTTATAACGACTACAGACAACTAACTATGCACCACAGCTTTAACAGAAAATGAACAAAGGTTTCTGTAAAATAATTGAGTTGTTCCTGTGAGAAATGATTTGGTGGTGAGTAAATTTTTTTGTTTCTTTTTAAAAGTAGTTATTGAACTCAACATACTTCTCCTCAGAAGTGTATATAAATGCCTAGGCTCAATTTTCCAAAAGTGCTTAAAATAAGGTGGCCAAAATTTATTGGAAATGCATGAAATTAAGGTACTGTACTGGGAAAAAAGGTAAATAGTCTTCCATCCTAAAATCCTCATTGCCAAGCCTCTATTGTCCCCTTTCCATTAAGACTGCTGCAGAGATGCTTCTGTTACCTCTATACTAGTGCAAGCAGATAAGTCCGTAGGCCTAGTGAAGAATTTCATTATAAGGACAGTAAATAATGCAGACTGTAACAATTTTCTTTGATTTTACTCTTTCTTCCTATATTCCACATTTGGCCCAATGACTACTCACAACACAAAGAAGTAGGATGACTTTCTTTTATTACAGAAGATATGCAGAAAGAAGGATGGATTTGATTCATAAAGAATCTCTGTTATATACATTCTGAGTTGAAGAGGCCCACAAAGGTCAAGTCCACCCAAAATTCAAACCCTATGTCTGAGTGTTGTCCAAATGCTTCTTAAACTCTGGCAGGATTGGTGCTGTGACCACTGCCCTGGGGATCCCATTCATTTTGAAGTGTAAGAACACTTTATCTAGTTTCCCTTTGGAAGCTAATTATAGCAGAATAGATTTGATCTCATTGTGTTTGTTTAAAAGGAAGTGCACAGACTGTGCTGTTCTGGTACATAATTCTGTTTAATTATTTGAATAAATCTAATAAATACTACACCACCGAGATTGGTATTGCTTATTTGTAGATTCAAAATTAGCAATGTTCTAACCATACAGATCAATTAAAACAACAAAATATAAATGAGTTATTGGTTACCTCCTCTCCTTCTTCAATATGATAATCCTTTCTTTCGTTAGGCCCTCCAACAAACATCACATTCAGTTGATATCGATGCCTAGAAAAGAAAGTGACTTTTTAAAGCTATCTCTACACATAGAGTTCTTTCTATCTAAGTTTTGTGGAGTGGCTTTTTTTTTTTGTTTTGTCTTTAATGTTTTGAGGACAGTAAACAGGTGAAACATGAGCGAGGAGCAACATCCAAAATTAAAAAAAGACCTAGAGCATCTTCCAGCTCTGCCACTGGCCACCTACTTCTCTCTTGGAGTTTCAGTGCCATCAGCTATGAAAAGGGGACAAAGGTACTTATCAGCAGTGGAAAGAACTTTGAATTGTAAAGACAGAAAATGGTATGCAAGAGGCACAAAACAGGAAAACATCCTTTAAATGTGATCAGCCAGGAGAAGAGAAGGCTCTGAGGTAACCTGATAGTGGCCTTTCAGTATATAAAGGGGAGTTACAGGAAAGAAGGGGACAGACTCTCTAACAGGATCTGTGGTGGCGGAACGAAAGGAAATGGTTTCAAGCTCAGAGGGTAGACTTAAGTTAGATATAGGGAAAAGATACTTTACAGGGAGGGTGGTGAGGCACTGGAACAGGTTGCCTGGTGATGCTCCAACCCTGGAGACTTTCAAGGTGAGGCTGGACCAGGCCCTGAGTAACCTGATTTAGCTGTGAATGTTCCTGTTCATTGCAGGGGAGTTGGGCTAGGTGGCCTTCAGAAGTCCTTTCCAACTCTAAGGATTTTATGATTCTATAAACTATCAGCTTGTTTCTCTTCTATTTATATTGTCTTTGCTGAAGTGAAACAGCATTGCAATGTTTTCTTTATGGCTGTGGATGATTAAAAAAAAAAAAAAAAGAAAAAGAAATTCAGGTCCTTTATCTTATTATCTTAATTTGGTTTTTAAGAGTACCAGAGAGTGTTTCTCTCAGTTTCCACAAAGAATAGGCATCACCCCAATTATCTGTCAGTCTGTCTATAATAAGAAAGAGAGAACATAAGTTATCCATTCTCTTTGTGTGGCAAAACCTCCTATAATCCAGAATTGTTAACTGTGACTCAAAATTTGTCCTAAGACTTCTTTGATGTGTGAGCCAAGGGATGCTGACATCTATGTTTCAGTAAAAAGATTTTGCGTTGTACTAGAAATCATAATAATGAAGATCATAATAGTACAGAACCAGCAGGTCAATGGTCCACTGCAACACAGGGAAGAAATATGTCTCTTTGTCAGCATTTCATAAGCCTTCATTGAGAGAAGCCAAGTAACTGTGAACAGCTGAATGTATATATTTGATCTGCTACTGCTGTCATGTTTACTTTGTAACCTTAAATGCTTTACTTAAATGGTAAAGAACACCACAGTAAGCATTAGTAAAAGAAAAATCACAAGTAATAGGTACAAACATCTCCTTGATCAAATTCAAGTATAAAGAATTAAATTAGGTTACAATACTTAAATTGACTATTAACACCATGGGACGCATGTTATAGCACCTGGCTTAAATGTCAGTAACTTAAAGTAAGAAACCACAATCAAAGCTGTTTGTATTAGACACATTTAATACTTGTGTCCAAGGACACATCAAAACTTCCTCATTAATGAATCTTTCTACTGATGAAGGTTAGGAAGACCAAAGCAATAAAAACATAATGAACAGTTCATTAAATAAATTCAAAACAATACTGGACAATAAGGGAGAGGCTATTTGAATATCTTGTAGCCTATTTTTAAGGTGAGTAAATTTTGAGGAACCCCCCAAAAAACAATTTTTTGAACCCGATGGTTCAAATCATTAATTTTATTGAGTTAATAATTACAAGGGAAAATATTGCTCTCAAAATCATTCTTTTAGTTACTTTTTGGCAAACCTGATGTTGGTTCTGTTACTCTATGGATTTAGCTGTTTTTACATAATAAGCAGGCACTTATGAGTTAATTCTTCCTACTACTAATAATTAAATAATGGCCCCATCAAAAAATTCTCACCATCAAATACTAGTAGGAACTCCAAGAGGTTTATTTGTTCACACTGCTAAACAAAGTTGTCCAGTTAATATAATTGCATTGAGTTAGGAAGAAAAAGCCATAAGAAATAAGAGGTTCAGTTAAGACCATCTGGGATGTAGTTTCAATGTCAAAGGTTTCAGGCATGTGGAAATTACTTGATTGCATTATTTTTAGATTTTGAATGAGATGATAATCAATGGCCTATTAAGTTTTACATACTCTTATTTCTCTTCCTAATCACATAAAGAAAATGTAACCAGCAGGTAACCTTTTAAAAATGTCTCAAGACTGTGGAGAATGAGATATTTCATGACTACAATGAGGTCTCTTTACTGTAAGTACCATACTCTGAACTCAAAGAGCTTTAGAAACGCCTTAGTGACCCTGTACAAATCAGCTATGTGATACGTTCTGATCTGGCACAAACTGTTCTTTGAGTTTGGAGGTAGTTCAGCTTGCAAGGCAGTGTAATTAAAATATATATCATTAAATTGCAGCTCTTACATTGTGTTGTTTTCTTGACTCTGGTAAAACTCTTAAGTAGATGATGATTCAGGAATTGAGGTTTTGTTTTGAAATCCCAAATAGGTATTTAAAATGTTGATTTTCTTAATTGAGTGGAACATAAAAGAATAAACGTTTGAAAGCCGTAGCAAATGTAGAAACAAAAAGTCAAACTGATGTGCTGTAAGACTTAGACTTTAACCATTTAATATCTTTGAAATTTAAGATCATAAGTTACTTAAATTTATTAAGACATAGGCCACCATGTAATATAAAGGTTATGAGAAGATTTCTTTGCACAACTGTACTCAGCACATAAATGATCAAGTCCTTGAAAATAATCTTGGAAATCTATTAGTTAAATCTTGGAAAACTGCCTAAAGCTTTTTGGAAAATCCTTAAAGCACCAGAAGCAGGCGATGAAAGACTCAGAATCTATATAATACAAGGCTTGTCTCTCCTCCTCCGCAGACTGAAGTTTCAATTGGGGAGAAAAAAAAAAAAAGATTTATTTAACCTATACAAGTTTTATCATGAAAAATATACTTTGTTTCAGTGTGGCTTTTTGTAGTATTTATGGGGGAGACTCATCAACACTGACAGCTTTCTAACCGCTGATAGACCTCGTGTTTCACAGTTACTCCATGATTACACAGAGCTGCTGGTAAGTTGTGCAGAATAGTTCAGTAATAACAAAAAGGTTCAACTTACTGATGAAGAAATTAAAACATGAATGTTTCACATAGAATTTTACTGACATCATTGGTAAGCTTTAGAAATGACTGTGCTTTACAAAATGATTCCTAAATCCATTCTGAATGTGAAAGAAATGAGAGCATTCATAAAGAAAACTCACTGCAAAACTGCTGTGGTGATTTGTTTCATAATTTCTCAGTCAGAACATAGAACCTCAGTTTCAACAGCAACATCTCAGTAAGGATGTGCATTTTACTTTACTTATGCCTTGCGACCATAAGTTTGAAAAGCAAATGTAACTGTGAACAGAAATTTGTCATTGCTACAGTGCTGCTCATCCAGCTTTTGATTAGAGGTAGCCTTTCATGATAGGGCAAGACAAATTCTTTGCTTTTTTAATAATTAAAATTGAAAAGTAAGGAGAAAAAGCAAGTTTTCTTGCTTGCAGGTTTTCTATCATTCCTTATAGATTATTCTCTCATGAAAATTTTACACACAGGTAGTTTTAGACTAAATATAATGTCCCTGAATTCAGTGACAAAGGAAATCCCTGCTAATTTTACAACCAGAAGTTGTCACAAATTTGACTATTTATACTGAAATTTGTTCAAGGGCTTTGATACTGACAATATGCATGCTGTAAGCCTGTATAATGCCCATGGCTTTTTTCCTCTATTAGCTGGATAATTATTGAGTATACAGTTCATGACTCTAACCTGCTAATTAGTCCCCTGAAACATTTCCTGTTCAGCCTTGTGCAGAACAGAGGGTCCTTCCCTGCCTTGTCAGCTCTGGAAATGCCCTGGAAACTGGCAATTCCTGCATTCCTCCTCTGCTTTTCTCCTTGTCTTCACATGATATATCCCATCAGTTCTGATTGCTCCTGCATATCTAGTCCCTCTGCAGAGTCAGAATGAACCCCAGCAGCTCTGATAGCTGCTTCAGGTTGTAGGACAGTACAGCACTGTCTAGCACTTGGTTTGATTTTACCATTTATTGCTGGGATGCCTCAGAAATCTCCTCAGATTTCTATGAGTTTATTTCAGAGGGCCTGATGCAAAGTTCCTCAGTGGCCTAACTGCCTACAAGCTGAAGTCAGGCAAGCATGCTCAAATTGATCTTCTGCATAATCACCACAAAATACATGCAAGTTACTTCCCGTTCTTCAAAGCTGCAGTATGTGTGACTGCTGTCTTCTGAGAGGAACTACATTTTGTTCCATTTTAACAATTTCCTCTTTTAGCTAAGAATATTTATACATCTAAGAACAACATAAAATTTACTTCATTTACTTACATAAGCTTGTTGCACACAGGTGGTAAAAAGGCTGCCTTGTTTTCTTCTATCCATTGTCTGACGTTCACAAGAAGCTCCATGGTCCACCAGCTACTACGAAACTTTTGAAGATGTTTGAGTTTGCACAGTGCTCTTTCTGTAAGCAAACCACAGACAACACGGTCCCCAGAGCTCAGGATTGGTTGGTAGAGGAGGTGTCTTCAGGCTTGAGTGTCAAAGGGGACGGGTCCATCAGCCAAAGGTTACTTTGGAAAGAGTGCTAATGCTCACACAACTCAGCTAATAATTGACCAGTGTTTTTTAAAAATGTATTTTCATCTGAGGCTCATTCTACTCTAAAGGAGGTCGCTTTATTTTCTCAGCTGCATCAAATGTTACCTCTCTACAGAAATTGTCTCGTTACACTGAGTTATGAAAACTTGGGCACGTCTAATATAGAAACAGCAAGTTTCAAAGCTAAATGTGAATTGAGAGCCAATGCTCAAAGTTCAGTTACGTGCATAGAGTAAATACAAAATGTATTTTTGTACATTAGCTATCTATCTCTGTGTTTTGGGCTTAATAACAGCCCTATTTCCTTTTCCCACCTCCCCTCAAGCTTCTTAGGCCAAATGATTGGGTATGTGACTGAAAATACTGGGAACCACATTTGCAAGACAAAAATAAATGTCTCTTGCATTTTTAACACTAAAAGGAGCTGCTCATAAATGTTCATTTTAATTAGTCCCACTCCTTTCCAGTACTGTGGCATGGCTTGTTGGAGAGCTGACTGTGGTTCTGTGATGCCCTTCAGGAAAACATAGCATGCTATCACAAAATTAGCAGGCAAACAAGAAATGAATAATTATCAGGCCTTCCTGGTCTGTATTAGTCTTTACCCCCCACTAATTTGTTTTCTGTATCTATGAAGTTCCTACTGGATTGCTCACTGCTTTCAGACCATCTCATTACTCCATTTTAACAACACTCTTTTCAGGCTTTGAATATATGAAATGGGTGATTGTAAGAAAATAAAATAAAAAAAAAATACTCATAACAAAATGTCACAGCTTTTTATTTGCTCTTACTGCAGCTTAGTCTTGTGACAATATCTATATTGTGCTCAGTGTGTCAGTGTGTGGGGGAGTAAGAGGATAGTATGATTTATTTAAAAGTGGGCTATATATCCTTGATTTCCTATGCCTATGGGCTGTACAACTTCTGGATTGAAGAGTCAGGATGCTGGAACAGTGCACGCTGGGGTATTCAGCTTATACCAATGTAACTTTCCTATGAGAGGGGGGAGAAAAAGGCAACAGAGTATGAGTTGAAACTAATTCTATAACTCTTACTTTTGTAAGTATGAGAGTGACTCTGCTTTACTTTCATCATTACTTTGCAATTTAGTTGAAATTACTTATGTAATTGATCCAAGAAAATTCCACTTATTTTAGGAAAAAAAAGATTCGCATGGGGCTTATAGCTCTGTTACATTATTATTGTCAGTATGGTATTAGCAATACTTTCTCGTGAAATAAGCACAAGGTACTTATTATTTCATTCAATTATTATTAAAAAAAAACAAACATTATTTATTTAGTATGTGAAATTTCCACTGTTAGAACAACTAATGGTCGTGAGACATCACTGCATGACAGATTCATTACGCACAGTTTTGGACCTACAGACAAGAACATTTAGGTGCTTTTTGTTCTGTAGGCTGCTGGCACCCTATTTAGCTGCAAAGGAAAGTGATCTTCTATTTAAAAGGCACTTTCACTGAGAGGATTGTGACCCTGCCAGGAGAACTGAAGGCACTTTTAATGACAGTGGTTTTGTAAAGCTCTACCTCATCATTAGTAAAGGATTGCAGAGCAGGACTCCATTTGTCAGGCATGAAAGCAAAGAGACTGTCCAAATTCACAGCAGGGAAAAACACATACTGGATCTGATAAAGCCAATATTAATGTGCAAGTTTTAACTGCAGGGTTATTCTGTCTCAACCCCCTACTCTCTCATCTTTGGTCTCCACTATTTTTCCCACGAAGCAGCATCCAAGGCATTATTACCTGCAGAGAACACTATCTCAGTATAAGCTGATAAATCCATTTTATGGCTGGAGTGAGATATGAAAAAAACAAAATATTCAGGAAACCAATGAAGTTAACCTATAAAATTTACCATTGCTAGGAAGTGGAGGTGACTGTAAGAAGGCAGCTTTTTTTGGAACCTTTTGAAAAAATGCAATTAATGGGCTCTCCATTTTGTAGTGAATGTGAGGGAATGCTGCAATTTTTGAGGAGAGATAAGAAATGGTCTGTGCAACCTGGAAGTAGTGGGCAACAAAATACAATTTCTGTGCATTGGAGTGTATTGGAGAGGCAAAGACCAGACCTAGTGCTGCAGTCTCTGTGAGACTCAGTTAAGTTCGTATACCTCATGACTAGAATTGGACCTGTAATTTTATTCTTGCTACTCTGCTTTTCAGTAGCTCTTCCTATCCTTCAAAGTCTGTTCCAAAATCACAGGTTTCTACATCTGCTTTTGGCTCATATCCTTCCCTGAGGAGGGAGGGCATAGGTAATGGCTCAAGATTTGTCAGGTTTTGCTGAGAGAAATGCAAGACTAGTAAAAGTACAAAACTAAAAAGTAATCAATCTACCTTTTGCATTATGGGTGTGGGAAAAAGTGTTAATAGGGAAAAAAACACCTGAACATGCTTGCTTTTTTTGTTGTTGTCAGTTCTGTGCTTTTCGTGTCCAAAAACATTCTTCAAGAAACAATATGAAGGAAGTACATTTTAAACTGAAAGCATCATTTATATATTTATATTTTAAAAACCCTGCATAGTTGGAAATAAAAATTCAAATTGGTACTAGACTTATCACAGCAGTCCAAGTAAAGTTTTGTTCCTGATTGTGAACTGGTTCATGTGGACAAGTTTTCACTGTTTTATGTATTATCCAAGGCCTCAGTCAGTGCATGGAGGGACAAATGTAAAAAAAAAACAAAAAACAAAAACCAACAAGTGGATCACATTGCAAAGCAAGAGTTAAAGATCCTACAGCATCTGCTTGGATCTTTACTATCGCTATCATTTTTTATGGGAAGGCTGATTAAAATACAACAGCGCTGATTATATTCTGTATAAATATCACAGGCAGATTCATTGAGTCCTCCCTCTTGTCTAAGGCTGAATCTGCAATAAAGATCTTGCCTGTACATTCACAGCTTCAGCTTTAATTCATGCTGACAATTTTGTACTTGCCAAAGATGCACCTGTTGGACGAAATTATATTCATGGCAATCTTTGCATAATTTATTTTATTTGGTAGTGTACTGATGCACTAGTAAGAGTGATGAAGACAATTGCAGTGTTCTGGCATGCCATCTAAATATCCACAATGATGTAAAATTCCTCTGAGAAATGAACTGACAGCAGTTTCTTCTCTCTGCCAGTCACCTTCATCAGTGGTTAAGATACAGTGGTTGTGTGTTACTTCACCTGTCAATGCTGTATGCTACTGAATCATTCTAAGTAACGGCCACAGTAATGGCACCAACAGGAGAACAGCTGTCTTGACAGGCAAGAAGAGCCCTGTCTCCATTCGGCACAGCCTCTAAAGGTTTCAGCTCATTTACGAATCTTCTGTAGGGGAGGAGGTAATGAAACCACATGTACCTGACACTCAACCTTGGAGATCAGTGCCATCTACTTAAAGCTGGTTGAGTGCCCGTCACCTGTTGTGTTGGATCAGGAATATTTCATTTTAGAGGCCATGGAAACCCAAGTGCTCCTGTAGCACTGCACAACCATGCGCTCTGTTATGACAGGTCTGGATTGTTGATTTGCCCATAGTAAAGCAGATGCAGAAAACAACCTTTTCTTTCTGGTGATTATGTCAGCAGCCCAGCAGAGCTGTCACACATCTAGGAAAGTAAACATGATGTCAATGTGTAATGATAGGAGGAAAAATAGAGAGATTATGTCCTTGTGTCAACGTGTAGCAGTACTGGAGCACTGCTTGTGTTTAAATGTCTGCTGATGCCAATTCTGTTTACTATTTTCCTTCCAGATATAAAGTGACAGAGCTGACTGCAAAACCAGTTCACGTTAGCACTGTACTTCAACAAAAAAAATGCATGCACAAGGTAGTCGGTTTTTCTAATAACTGTTTCTAAGTAATAAATCGTGTATATACTGTGCTGTTTCTGGGCATAAATAATGATTACATTCAGTGTTTTCATCTCTGCAGTGCTCCCGGCGTCCGGCCCCGCTTCCCGCTCCGGGGAGAGGCCGGACTCTCACCGCGACCGCCATGCAGCCCCGCAGCCGCCGGGGACCCGGGGTGGGAGGGCTTTGTGCCGGCGCCGCGGCTGCTCTCCGCCTTTCCGCGCTTCGTGGCACCGCCCTCCCGGGGGCGAGAAGACCGCCAGCCCGTTTCTCCCGCAGGACTGTGTCGCTGGTAACGGCGAGAGTGTTGCGTTGGCAGGAAGCCGGGGCGCGGCGGGGCCATAGCTGGACGTAGGGCACAAAGAAGCAGCTCACTGCCCTTCCCCCGCCCGGGCTGGGCGAGTGCTTGATAAAGCGTTCGGGAGAAGTTGGTGTCAGGGCTCCAGTGGCGCAATCGGTTAGCGCGCGGTACTTATACAGCAGTACTAAAGCCGAGCAATGCCGAGGTTGTGAGTTCGAGCCTCACCTGGAGCACAGTGCTTTTTGAGAGAAAGAAAGGGCTTTTTTTGAGACTGCTCGTGAGGAGGAAATGGAGGAACTGATAAGCTTATGGAAAAATTATATGCGGGCCTCTAAGCGCGTCCCTGCTGCCACGGACGTGTCGAACCATGTGGGTGGGTGGATCCTTTCTGCTTGTTCTAGAAGCGGGGGAGAAGTGGACACACAGAGGGAGCACTTGCATGGGGCACTTTTTCTATACATTCGGTTGTGTAGACACCTGCTTACGTATGCTTACGTAGATGCGCCTTTAATACTTTTATAGAACAGCTTTTTAGTGTGCAGTCAACGTTGTCCTGGTAAAGCTGTCTGTATGTGCCTCCTTGCAGGAAGTAAAGGTTGCTTTATAGTAGCTTATTTAACACAGCGCCGCCTATTGCCTTCTGCGATCACTACAAGCGATCCCTTCCTTCTTCAGTATGCATATTCACCGTAACTGCTCACTAATATGATAATGTTTTGCAAATGTGTAGTCCAGAGAAGGAAGGAAAAGAACTCAAATAGTTTTAGATTTGCTTTTATAATTGGAAAAGTGGCAACGTTGGAGAAAAAGGGCAGTTTCTTCTGGAAAGAAAATTGGAAGATACCTCTCAAGCATTTAGGCCCAGAGCTTGTAAAAATGCCTGTTAGCATCTATCTAACCTACTATTACAGCACTGTAACTTATATAAATAGTTAATTATTGAGAACCTTGGGATTGTGCAGCCAGAAGCATCACCATTGCCCAAATCAGCCCACAGGTGTGTTATGCAGGCACCTAATTCCTTGAAGCTTCTCTTCTAATTCTAGTTCTTCAGTTACCACATCTTCCCTCTCCTAGCGACCACCTTGGCTCCTCTGAATTTTTCAGGAAACTTCACCATTGATTTCAGTGATGGTACACTTGTGGCTGAGGTGTGCACCTTATCAGCGTGATGAGGCCTAAATAAACAGAGTAGAGATACAATTCACCTGCTTGCTGTTTCATGTTTCCTCCTTTGTGGATGAGTACATCAAAATGATGGGGAGTGAAGACAGGATGGAGTAATGTTTACAGAAGTGTTAATGTAGTAAAAAAAAAAAAAAAAAAAAAAAAGAAAAGAAAGCGCTATTTCTGTGCAACTGAAAAGGAGAATAACAGAAAGCATGTTGTTTGTGATGGCAGAGGCAACCTGCTCCCAAGGTTGGACCCACCTTATGAAGACCTGGGAAAAATACAACTTCCTCCTCTTCCTAACAGGTGCCTTCTGTTTGTAATAAAGGTTTTGGCTTGGTTTGCTGAGGGTGATAGCGCAATTTTTACCATATCCAAGGAGCACAAAATGGACGCTACTTACTGCATTCACAGCAGCGGCCCAGCTTCTCTGTAATGTGCTTCTGCTGTACCAGAGAGCAGCAGGACAAGCAGTAAGAATTGCACAATGCAAAGACTCAAAGACCAAAATTGCCATGTGAGCAACACCTGTTTGCATTCCTGCAGTAGAAGCTGACATTCCTGATTGCTTAACACATGAGAGAGATATGAGATGAGGATTTCACACTGGAAGTCATATAAAATCAGGACAGTTAAGGGGGAATTCACTCAGCTTGCACAACAAAAGGATGTTATTTACCTGTGTATAATGGCTGTTTGTGAAACAAATTGTACAGAACTTTTACAAAAGACTTAGTACATCCTGAGGAATGCTGGACCATGAGGTAAGATAAATTAAAGCATCTGGGGAGGGGTGTGACTCTTTATGGCCTGTCTGGGGACACCTGGTGGTGCTAGGATATCCTTTTGTTCTGGTGTGGATGCCCTGGGCCTTGCTGCTAGTCTCTTGTGGCATAAGGAAGAAGGGTGCTATTTTGGAGCAGAGGTTAGTGAGTTTGTTTGTTTGCTGCAATTTGTTTTTCTCTGCTCTGGTGAAACAGTGAGGCTGGGTGCCTTGGGAAGGTTGCTCAGGGTGTGGGCTTGTGGAGCTGAGGGCTTGGGAAGCCCTGGTCTTGCCTTGTGTTCTCTCTAGCTCTGACGAAGTGCCCCAGTCTGCCTACTGTTCCTCCATTTAAAAGTATTTTTCTGAAAAGTGGATGTCTTAAGGCTTAAGAAAAAAAAGTATGTATTTTTGTTTATCCTAAAGGTTTCCTTTTTTGGTTGAGCTTCCAGGTCCTGAACTATTGGTTACTGCTTTAATTTTAGTTGGCAGTGGCTTATACATACAAGCATGTGTATAAGTGTTCATGTATGTATGTGTGTGTATGTAAATCTACCCTTATGCTACAGTGTCTGCATATGATTGGTATTTTCTAGAACTTTAGCATAAGTATTACATTGCACAAATGTTTTCTAGTATAAGGTGCTAGATGTACTAAGGTGATGCAGAGAGAAGTAATTGCTCTTCTCCTTCCTGCTTCTTTTCCCTGGTAACAGTTTGTTCAGCTGCTTCTCATTCTCCTTTTGATAAGTAGACAGCCAGATGCTCTTTATGCCCCTCAGACCTGCTGCTGTGTGTCACTGTCCTCATAGGTGACCTCAGTTTGGCTAGAGCTGCAAAAGCTGTGGCTCAGGCTGTTCCCTGGGCATTCCTGGAAGTATTTTCAGAAGGGAGGGTTTTTCTGTTTTGGCACTGTGGTTTCTCCATTCTGGCCTGTTTACTTAGGGATGCAGGTCTTTATCCTATAGCACACTTTTTCATTTTTCCACATGTGAACATCATGCTTGCAGGCCTGTAGCTCCCTAGCTCTTCTGAAATCCTTCCAGGGTCCCTTTTAAGAAGGTCCCTCTCTTTTTAATTACTGTTGTTCTTCATTCAGTGTTAAGGATGGTGTTACGCTCACTCTGTAGTGTTTCTCTAATTGCCTTGAGTTCCTTCCTGCTGACTGGAAAGAGATAATTTTATAGATTTATAGAGAAACAAAATATACCTGTTACTTATTTCTAGAGGAAGAATTTTATGAAGATCCATCTGTTGAGTGGTTGTGAATGATAATTAAAATCATCTTATAGGACAGGTTTTACGTTTGCATATTTCTTGCATGGGATGTCCCATTAGAATGGGAGATGCAGGATGGTAGGAGAAGGTAGTACAGAGTTATTGCATGTAATTATTTATTATTTTGATACAACTTTTTGCTGTTTATTCTGCCTGTTGCATGTTGTTGTAGTCCTGATTTTTGTGAGGCTCTCGAGTGTTTGCTTAATACAATTTGAGTGTATTGATCTTGAAATTTCCACTGTATTGAGTTCTGTGTACTCCAAAAAATGTCTATAAAATATTATGAAGACTTGGTCTGCTTAATTGTTTTGAATCTGAAGTAGTATTTTAGTCTTAATAAATAGCAAGTAAGAATATGCTTTTCTTAACTTTTCCAATAGATGGCGCTGTGATTCCACAGTGAAAAAGGAAAACCCAAGCAAGTGTTCCCAGACATCCTAAAAATAGAAATTGCTTGCAAATGTTTCGTTGTGTGCAGCAGAGAACAATAGGCAAAAATTCCAAGGGTAATTCCAAGATAAATCAAGTCAACTGGAGGTATAGGTACTTTTTTGCTAGTGATTTATTTTTCTTTTGTGTATAACATCTTGAGGAACTTTCTGAAATTAAAATCTGTTGATTAGTTGTGTTGAGAGTAACAAAGGTGTATAGGATGTGTCATGTTTTTTGAAGTCCATATGAATTCAGTACTGTTTCAAAGTGCCAGCACAGCAGGCCCAGCTTGGATTCTTCTAAACAAACCTGCTCAAGAAGAGCTGCTGTTAGAGACTCTCTTGCAGAGCTGCCTAAAGTCCAGTTGGCTGCTTCCTGTTGAGGATTCCCTGCTATGGAGATAGTAAACTAAGAAATAACAGCTGGGAGGAGAGGAATAGAGCATAGATGCTTTCAAACCAATGGGAAGGACTTGTTTTACCCAGATCTTAGTATGCAGCTGAGGGAAAGGATAAGAAAGGGCATTCCAGTTGAGAAGCTCATAAGGAGGACTTGTATCGCTCTTCGAACCCCAGTTTGTAGAGGTAACATGAATGATATGGCAGAGTGTAGGAAGACAAAGAAAAACAGAAGAGAATGGGAGGGGAGGTTTAAAAAATCAAAAACATAGATGAAGAAGCTTTTTGGGGAGCATTGTCTGGTTATAGGTGTATGAACATGCTTTTTTGGAGAGTGAAAAACAAATAAATGAGCTTGAGCCAGTTATTCTAGCTTAATAGATCCCCTACAGAAAGCAAATTAGCTTTCACGTTTTGCTTGAGCAAAGAGTGATCTCAAGAGGCAGTTTTTCTTTGTGTATTTTGAGCAGTTACTTCAGTGTACCAATGTAAGAGAACCCTCAGCCTCTCTAGGGATTAGAGCGGGTGTGGGAGGACTGGAGAGCTCAGCTTTCTGGCTTGGAAAAGGAAGGAAGTGGATAATCAGTACTGGTGTTTGTGCCCATTTAATTTTTTTGCTTATGCTGAGTTTCCTGTGTTAGGTTCTGCTTTTAAGGTGGAAAAAGACTCCTGTTTTTTCCAAATAGTTTTGGTTCAGCCTAAATATTTGAAACCTTGGAAAAGGCTCAAGACACAGCAAGACAAACTAAACCAAACCCGGAGAAAGAAAAAGCTGGGAAAGTAGCTGAAATGGCAGGGAGTAGAGTCTGTGATTACAAATTCTGGTGGAGGCATGTTCCCATGAAGGAGGGAATCAAGCCTGTACTGCCTGCTTTAGCTGAGAGACCTTTCATTGTGAGACAACAGATTTAGGGTATTGTTAGGAAATGTATCTAAAAATTTTAACACAAAATACAGATATGAATGTTGTTAGGGAAACAATTTTTAATGGTTTATCTTTTGGGGGGGAAAAAAAAAATGTATAAAATACCTGGGACACTGTGCCACAGGCCATGCGGGTTTGTAGTGTAGCTCGTAGTCGGGTATTTTTTGAGTATTGGAGAGAGGTTGTCAGATTGATCGCAAACATCAATAACTAAAATTATTTGCAAGGTAGAGGATAATAAAACTCTGAGTCAATTTACTTCACTGCATGCATTTACTTTATGTATATCCTAGCCACTGGGGTAAGCATTATAGTTAATCAATTCTAATCCTTAAAATTAAGTACTATTTGTTCACTGTTTAACGAAGGACATTCATCTGTCTTTAAGGAGAGTCACATCAGACTTGTTCAAGCAAGCATGAAGCTCAGTTAATATTAAAGCTGTTATTAATGCAATTGTATGTAGTTAGTGAACTACGTTCTGGAAAACATATCTTCTGCTTTTGCAAAAACTCACTTGCAGGATGAAAATATTTACAAGTGAAGATGAGTCCACCTCATTTGGGTGGTGGAGGGGGGGGGTTGTAGGAAGATAATAGATTTGAGGGTGCTCTCAGTCAAGGGGAGTAGGGAGTGTTTCTGCGAAGTACCTAGGCCTGAGGCTTGGGGATTTGCTCTTGTGTATGCTCAGGGGCACTTGCAGAAGGGCTCAGCTTCAGTAGGAGAGGGATGCCTTGAAGCTGGTGCCCTTCTGAGGAAAGCAGGAAGCATCCTTGCATATCCTTCTTTCTCTCTCTCTATCCACATTTTCCTGTGTGCTTCCTGCCTGCTTAGACTTGTTGCGCACTTGGGACAACAGCTCTAAGGATTTTACATTACACTGCAAGATCTATACCAGCTGCCTCATGTCAATTTGGCTGCAGATGTTGTCCTGTGAACCCTTCTGTGAATTGCTTTGGATGTACTGTGTTTCCCAGGGGGCTCAATGTGGACATGCATGGCTGTAGAGTGGTCACAGCTGGGGTCTTGAGCCAGCTCAGTGGCCAACCTCTTCAATTAACGTATTGTGTCTCTTATTCTAGTCCTCTAGAGCTCGAGACTTCTGTTTCCTTAGTTTCAAGTGCACTATGGTTTCTCTTCATTCTTGAAGACAAATTTATCTGACAATTTAAGGTATTTGTCCCAACACCTTTAGATGCCTGATTACCAGAATGCCCAACTGTATACTCTTGATCTGTATACTCTTGAAACACTTGGCCAAACTTTCAAGGTTGATATTGATGCTGGTCTACTTAGTTCTAAGCATCTGGATGTTGCAAAAACTGCTTTTCATTGCAAATATAATATATTTGAGGTGTTCTTATGTGCGAGCATTTACACTGAGGTTTGGAAAATCAGTATTTGCAACTCGTGCATTCTTTTTGCTGTTTCTTCTCTGTACATCAGACTCAATTAGTGTCGGTACTCTGGGCAGTTATTTCACTAACCACTGCTGAAGAATGCTGACCTGTCTGAAAACTGTGGCTATCCCATGTGCTCTTGAGTACCCAGACTCACCAGCTGGGGCTTGCTGTTTCTGTGAGGCAAATGTAGAAACTGATCAAATAGCTTGCACGTGGGTGTGTGGATGTGGTGTGGATAGTTTCACTTTTTCAGGTGCATGAAGCTCAAGTCTAGTGAGATGGTTGAACATAAAATCGATGTTTGGATATCTCAGCATTCTCTCATGGATTACTGAAAGCTGAGGAGCATTCCAATTACAGCCTGTCATCTAAATGTTTCCAAAAGTTAAGATCAAACTGTCAAGCAGCTGAGATGAACTGTTTTTGGAATATAGTTTTAAAGTATAATACAAATGAGTACATTTTCACCATGTCAGTGTATTTGCCTCATGCTTTAGAAGTGGATGAAGTTTGGCCAAAAATAATGGGAAGCTTACATCTGGCTGAAAGGAAACCAGAAATTTAA